CCTTTAAAAAAGGGGACAAAAAGCAGCGGGAAATGGTTTTATGAAAGATTCCAAAATTGATTGAATTGCACCTCAAATGTTGTCAAATTATTTTAAAGATAGAGAAAAAAAAGGGAAATCGTTTTTAAAGAGAAAGTAAAAAGAAAAGAGAGGAAGTAAAATTTTAGTCAAAGTTTTCAAAATCTAATTTTTTAGTCAATTTGACCAATGGGTTCTTCGAATTCCTTTTTTCCTGATTTATTTTCTGAATGAAGCAGTGGAAAATGAAATATTGAAAAAGTAAGTTTATAAGCACCAAAGCGTTGACAATTATTCGGATGCTAACGGGACAATTCAGTTTAATTTGCTGATTATTTTGATAATATAACAACTTTGTACTTTTTGCTCATTTCATTCCTGCTAATAACAGTACCTTCAATTGCTAAAAAAATATTTAAAAATCTTAAAAATATTCATTTTATATTTGCTTTTAACAATATTTGACAAGAAAGAACGTTGGATTCAAATTCTGATTTTAACCATTTCAATCAAAATAATAATAACAATGCTCGAAGAAATTAAGCAGACATATTCACTTTCAATAATTAATATTTAAAAGTAATACTTTTTAGCCTTTCATTTTCATTTATCTTTTTATAATCCAAAATTTTCATTCCTTAAGAGATTTATTAGATAAAATGCGACTTCGCTTTTAAGAAAACTTTTGCTTTTTTTTTCATTTTGCTTTTTATTTGTTTTATTTTATTTTATTTTCCTTCGATGAAAAATCTTTTTTACATTCATTTCAAAGTAAGTTTCTAATTTACTGTAAAAATATATATCATGCTTTGCGCATTGGTTTTTTAAAAAACGGCAGTAAGTACACTTTCGGTTATAACAAATTTTCATTTTTTTCAATCTATAGACCAAGAAAAAATGTTTCAGAAATTTTAAAAGAAAAAAATAAAATGAAAAAATGCAAATCAAATAATGCAAAAAAGATGTGCGATACATGAAGCGCAAATGACCAACAATTGAAATTTTAATTTTCCATTCGTTTCGATGTCATTTCATTTATTTTGTAAACGAATATTTTTCTAATGACCCATACAAATAACAACTCTAACTTATCCGCATACACATGCACACACACACACACACACACACACACACACACACACACACACACACACACACACACACACACACACACACACACACACACACACACACACACTACTACTACTACTACTACTACTACTACTACTCTCTCTCCTCCTCCTCCTCTCTCTCTCTCTCTCTCTCTCTCTCTCTCTCTCTTCATTAATTTGATGGTAGAAGTTTACGTAGGAAAAAAATATTGGAAAAAGGAAGTGGGAAAAGAAAATGGGGAAAGGAGCATTTCTTTATAGCGGAAAATGACGCCCATCATTGAATGTGTATCATAATAGAGAGAAATGAATGATTGTCAACTAACAAAGCTGAGTTGAAAGAAGAAATTTGCTTCTATTCATTAAATTTCATATCAACAGCTAAAATTTGTATGAAAAATGTGATGACATATTGGATACACGTATTACAGCTTCTGGCAATGAAGAAAGGGACACATTCAATGCTATGTGGTACCATAGAAATGTTACTAAAGAATTTCCCAAGATTATCAGATAATGCATAAGTTGAGTGAATGGTAAGTTTCATTTCACATTTTAGCAAGAATACATTTTCCAGAAATTAAATGAAAGCTTCCAAACATGAATGTGATAGGCGCAAGTTACCCGTTACTCTTACACTAATAACATATTCATTGCAACCACATGTTTTCACAGCAAAAAAGTAGGATAACTGCAAATAGTATCAACTAAAGTTCATTGTAGTTTAATAATTTGATATGAAATGAGTAGCTGATACGTACGGTTAGTTCCACTTCGATAATTAGTTCTACTTCGATAATTGGCGCATGATTGTGTACGAGCACAAGAGCGCATTGAATGATTAAAAGCCATGAGCTAAAAGGGGCTAGTAAACCAGTAAATTACTAGCTAATGAAACTGAGCACATGATGCGCGGAATTTCTCTCCTGGCCATAAGTAATATTTGTGGCTTTCAAATGGCCAAGGAAAATATCGCTATTCCTAGCTTTATCATGCTTACTGGGTAATTGATTTTCAGGAAATGAGCGAATTGATAAACTAACTAGTCAATAACTTATTTTCCTGCCATAGGTAATCAATTTAAAGTTCTCTGTTAACTGCAATAATTGTGGCTTTCATATGGTCAAGGTTTTTTTAAACGTTTGAAAGAATGCACCAGTGTAGTCGCTGAGTGAAGGACAGAAAAAATTTTCTTCGTAACAATAAAGACCGCTCACGGAGCAAATATCTTTAAATGAAGACTTGTTTAATTTCTAAAATTAGTGCTTCTTAAGCACAAAGAAGTAATGTTTTATTATTTACACCGGGAACCTAATCTGTAAATTGTCAAGTATTCCAGAACTGTAGAAAGGTAATTTGAATATATTTCAGTATTCACTTTGATCTACTATTTTAATAATTCACAGGGAATGAGATTCTTTAAAACTTGTAGATGATCTCAAAGAAATATCAACATTAGAAGAATTTTTATATAGCATTTGTAATGCGATTCAGTAGGATTTTGCCAAGACTTTTAAGTTAAATGCCAATGAATGGGATTATTTCAAGAGCTATGCATATCGAAAGCATATAAAAAGTTTGTCATGCATATCGAAAGTTGAAAGTTTGTAGAGGTGGATGGCATCACTTCTGAACGTTTGCTCTTAACTCTCAAAATAATCGAATTTTGGTGGTTAGAGATTTCGCTGTCACTCTATCTTTCTAGTTTAATAAATAAATAATAAGTTAGTCATTAATTCACAAATATTAACAGACACAACAGATTTTTGAACAAAAAAGGAAAGCAAAATATGGCATAAGTCTTTCCTCTTCAAGAAAAACCGGTCTTCTAAAAATTAAAAAATCGGATTTTAAAAAAATCTAGAATTGAAAAAATCGAAAAACATTTGTGACAGATAAAAAGAAAAGAATTTATGAAACACTATTAGGAATAGAAATATAGTTAAAGGCTCTCATCAAACTGCATCGTTAGCAATCTCGAAAACGCCAAGCAATGATGAGCAAAAGTAAAGTACCGTAGCAATGCATTCTTCTTCATTACTTGACAGTTGAAGTGTTAAATGGGAGTCGAAGTACAAACAAGAGATAAATTATGTCAACCTGCAAAAAATCCCAATGTGCAGCATTATTCAGGAAGACCGGAAAGCATTACAACAGGTGTTTTTCGGGATGTAACCCTTTTCCTTTTCCTTTCACTCTTTTCAAATGGACTCCCATCAGTTCTCTCTCCTTCTTCCTCTCTTTCTACCTATCTTTCTCTAACAGTTTTATAGTTTGCAACTATATAAAAAATCTGAGATATAACTTAAGATTTGAAAATTGTGAAACTTTTGAAAGCTTTGGTCTCTAATCTCTAAATTCTGAAAGCAAAAGAAAACTGTGAAAACAAATATACTCAAAGAATATTTGTCACAAAAAATTAATTTTCTCTCTTGAAATGAAAAGGATATGAAGAATTATTGGAGGACGAGACAAGTGACAGATATACAATGAAATGACATTACTGATCGATGAGCTAATCTTTTGGCCGAGTAGAAAGTTGCACTTAGTTCCAATCAGAATTACGCGACAAATTTACTGGCTTTGTCCGGTTTGTGACATCGACGAACTTGACCGCTTCTGAAACACAGATGGACTGTTGCTTGGGGGAAAAAAATAAGCAAAGTAAATATTACCATAATTTGATGTTTTAAAAAGAAATATGACAGAAAGATTGTCAAATATTTTGTTGAAATTGAGTGTTTGAAAGATGTTGCTCTCTGTATCTAAAAAATGTAAGGCATTGTTACAGAGTAACATCTCTTCTACTGCTTTATGGCGCCCATGTTTCATGTGGCTATGACTCGGAATCTGAATACCGAGATCGATGACTGGCTGTACTAGGTATTTGGATAATGTACTTCGAAAATGTCATGCGGCACGAGTTCCATCGTTTTTACATCTTCTTCTTCGTTCTTTTTGCCTGAGAATCCATTATTTTATCATTAACATTTAATGTTGAGTTCATCCTAAATGTAACTACAAGTGCGCAATTTGTTCACAGAATGCCACAATCTAATTAGTTTAGTCAATAATTTAATTAAACTAATTATCACTAGTGATTAGTGATACAGCAAATAACAGATAACCTTAAACGATTACGTTTTGATATTTTATTTACAAAAACAACGATCCAAAAAGGATAGACACTGGCAGAAATTGATTTGGGGTTAGGGTACTTACACCAGTGATGTTCGGAAAGTAGCACTATTGATAGACCAAACGTAAATAAAACCGATAAAAATCCCAATATAATATATGAAATGTGTAAAGCAAACAGGCGTCCTGCAATTCGTTTAATCTCCTACTTTCCATTGTGAAAAATCTTTTCCGGATATACAAACGGATAAGTTTCTGGAGACAATTTAACTTTCACATTTTCTAGTCATGGTAGACGCATCTATGTTAAAATCAAAATCTGAAAATCTTCAATAAATTGTGTGCATTGTTAACCTCGTAGCTGAAATTTTTTGACTGTTTCAATGAGAAGAGCCGTATAATTGGTAGAAATAGGTACTTCCTCACATACCGCACCAACATCAATGAATAATGTAATGGCAACAATTGACCGCCAAGTATATCTCATTTTCCTAACAATAATTAAAACTCCAACATGTGTGCCGTATTTCTAACTTTATCCATGTATCTTAAAAAATTCATAAAGAGACCTAGCGCTCATCTTCGATTTATTGAAATGGAGTAGAAGAAAATGAAACAGAACATTTATCGGCATTTTTCTACAGTATGTACAAAGTGAACAGGAAGGAAGGACAATAAATCATCTTAAAATTCTCATTTCTAAAACGCCACATTCATCCGCATGATAATCGATTTGCTCAACTGTAATCATTGGACGTGCAGTTGACGGATCCCAGCTATCCTTCGACCATTCTTCTGGTAAAGCACTTCCAAACATTCCAAATACGGCAGCAGAAATTAAGAGAAGGGCTGCTAACATCAAAAAGATCACTCGCCACTCATCAGCATTACTGAAAATAACTGAAATCATTTCAGTAAAAAAAGGAAGAAAAGACAAAATAAAAGTCACCATAATCATATATCCTGCTCAAAACTCATAAGAGTGAAAGATATGCAAATTTAGGATCTTGTTGTCCCTTGCGCATCTACGAAATTAAGTCATTAAATATTTTAAAAGACGAAAAATTAAACACCAAATTATAATCGAATTGTCACCACAATCATACATCGTTCATCAAAAAAACCAATATCATTGATTTGATCCTTATATTTAAGCATGAAGAACTAACTTTTCTTCCACAAAGAAAACAGCAACAGCAGCTGTGAAGAAAAATGCAAATCCAGTAAAAAACCGAATATAGGAAACTATAAATTGTCCAAAAAAACGGCCTACCAATACCGCACTACGGTAAAACCCGTAAACAGAAAATGACAAAATGCATAGAATTAAAGTGAATGCCGCCACGGCACTGAAATCAGACAATTTCACATGCTACATAAAGAGGATAAAATAGCTTAAAAAAGTTGACAATTATTATTAAAAATAATGCAGTCAATAAACCATGAAGCTGTTGTGAACTTCGAGATCAGATTCATAACCATCATCAGATCCATCATCAACGTAAATATGTGTGCGCTTGCACTGTCTGTCTGAATTTCATTAGCAGAATCTCAATAATAATTGTTGAAATTCTGCTAATGAAGCAGTTATCTGCGATGGGCCTTGATTTTGGAGTCAAATGTCAGAGCAACTTAACAAAGACCTGCGGAAAAATGTAAAATCGAAGCTACCTGTGATGAAATGTGCCGCCAGGAGGAAATATTGCAAGGAAAATAAAAATCAGTGAACAAATAACAAAAGAGATACTATTGAATGCTAGTATTGACATCCTCTCACTAAAAAGTTTCGCAAAACGATGCCATAATCCATGAAGTTGCGTCGTTATAAACTGGAAAAAAAATCAAACAGTTAATTATCAAACATTAAACAATCTAAAATTTGAAAAAGCTTTAACAAAATTTGTTGTTCTCTTCAATCAGATGATATAATTTGCTAACAAATGATTGTAACTTGACGAAATCATTCACATCTTTAGTATACATGAAAGGACATTAATTCTCATACCATAAACAAGAAAGGCACGGCAGCCAGTAGTGCGCAATCCGCACGAGTTTCATGAACAATCAGCAAGCAGTATAAGGGCAAAAACTGAACAGCAACCGATACCACAAGGAAATAGCTACAAGCAGCAATCCAAATCGCCCAAACCGGAAACGACATTAGCAACAGTCGGCTAGGATTTTCTGCCAAAATTCGGTTGTATTCAGCCTATAAAAACCGACAAGTTTTGGCATACAAACAATTTAAGTGAGTTCTAATTCATTTAATAAAGCTTGTAAAGACATCAACAATAATTTGCAATTACCACTGACTTTTGGCGTCAAAGATGAACAGTTCTAATACAGTGCGAAACCTCATCTCATGGATTTAAAAGGCATTTTGGAATTCTTATCCATCACAGAATCTCTCAGGCACCGAAGAATGAGTGAATAACAATTTCCTGAATGTATGCAATGTAAACCTTAATTTTTCCTGCCACAATTTTGTTCAGTTCAAGTCCATTTACTGAAGAGTGATATTGTGGCTTTTCTCGAAACATTGCCAACCAAACTAATGCCAGTAAAAAGGTTAGTGCTGCATGTATCAGAAATGGTGTTCGATAATCATGAGCGAATATAAGAGACGAAATCGGCCAACTAATTAAAGGTGCCAGCTGCAAATTCATAAAAATTTTGCTATTCAATGCAAGAAAAATACTACACATTCATCTTTAATGAGAATAATCTTAATAAACTTATCCCAGATAGATATAAATTTATCCCTCTGACCAGATCTACCTGGTCATCAGCATAGTCTTTTCGTTGTGACAGTTCGGACAGAACATAAATAGATGGCTATGAAAATTGTTCAAAACATTGATGTTCAGAACCCTCTTTTAGCTGATCAAATAATTAAACTGCTCCTAATCCATAACGTACGGCCTTAATCCTGTCAACAAGCAGCATTTCTTTTGTGTTATTAAACTTTTTGGAAATATTTCTTGTCATGCTCCACTACTATTTTCAAAACTTTATATTTTTAAGATTTCCAAAAATGAAGTTAACTAACCTGAATGAAAGATGTACAACAAACCAAAAATAGAAATTGCTTTTTGAGAGTTCCCCAATTTGCCGTCACTGAAGCGATCATTGGATAAACGTTGGCAAAGACCAAACCCTGGATAAATCGCATGCAAGCTGTTAAATATCGGCCTGAACTATAAAAAATTTTGAAACAAAATTAATGAGCGACTTCCAAACAGCTGTATTTCTTACAAACATCTCAAATATGAATTTCACTAAAAATAAACACTGTATGACATGCAAATTCATAATTACCGTATTTAATTTGAGGTGTTATGGCAAGCGAGGCAGTTGCTACAGCTGATACAACCATCATAACAGCAAAAAATCGACGACCACCAAATGACCGAAGAAACCAAGAAGTAGAGAATGATCCACAAAACATTCCAATGCCGGGAGAAGTCCAAATCAAAAAGTGCTGCATTTTCTCCTCCGGTGTTCTGTGTGCAATACCTTCTCTTCAAATGCATTTGTAGTGAGACTACTCGTGAAATTAGCTTTAAATTTTATAATTAAGTGGTGTGTTATATCGATAAAAAAAATCTTTAAGTGAAGAATATTGAAAACTATCTAGCTATTTCATCCACAGAACCTTAATGCCGATACGAAAACTGATCTGCAACGTCAGCCGATAAACCATTTCATTCAATTAATTCACTTATTTGTTCGATTGTTTGTCGAAGGTCGAAAGCTGAGTAAACTATCAATTTTTATGGCACCAAATTTGTATGAACTGGAAGTAAACTGACATTTCAACTTGCTGTCTCGATTTTTCACCGCCATCTTTCAAATTGCCATCCCACTGCCTGTCCTTGTCGAGCTGTAGGCCATCTTTATACGTCAGCTCTAGAAGTAAAATAATATTCAAAGCGTAGGAAAACTTTTTTACGAAGTGTAAAAATTTTTAAATGCATATTACGAATTCTTCCCAATGTGAAAACGTTTCGGATGAGTTTTTCAAAAAGTTTCGTGAAAAAGAACAAAATAAACTGGAAACTTACGTTCGCTATCTTTATGACTGTGAAGGATTGGAAGATCCACATCAATCGATCTAGAAAATAAGCTATAAAAATAAATCGTTAGCTTAATTCAATCTAAAAGATCCCGAAAACAATTTTCTCAACAGTTTATGAGTAACACACGAAAGAACTAAAATATATCACCTAATCGTTGTCCTTTCTTCATTTGCACTTATATCTGAGAACACATGCCCAGGAGCAAACGTTACATTGTTTGCTAAAAAAAAAAAATTACTTGAAACTATAACATTAAACCCAGATAAAATATAGACACTATAATAACCATTTTACTAAGAAATATATGTTCCTTGAAAAGGTGTGGAATTCTGTTGAAAATTTATGAACATTGTGTTCCAAAAATTACTTCCATATGATTCAACTGTTTTATTAAAATTGAAATTTATTGTTCCCAATATTTCCATCAAATGTCTGTTCTTTATATCTGAACTGCCCAAATTGCTACCGCTGGCAGTGCTTCGTAAAAATCGTCCTGAAAAACAGGCAGGAAATATCAAGTGCTATAGTATTTATCATCTTAGCTACTAAATGGAGAAAGTGATTTCATCACACATCTCGGTGTGGTCTGGCATGCACCTTGAAGCAGTACAAAGGTTCTTCAGTTCTGATTGCGATTATGAAAAAGAAGATATGAAATACTTTTTTCTACAGAAGATAGTTGTGTCAAATGCATCGATCTCCACAACTGAGTATTCTGCAAAAAATAAACTAATGAGTGTTTTTACATTGCATATAAATAATCTAACAAATTAAACTACTTCATGATGGCAACATTATAATTTCGAGCGGTCAATAGCAGTTTCCATTTCTCATTAATTTCTTAAAAATTTAGACAGCAGAATAGGATTTTGGAAAACTGATAACTACTGGAAACAAAACAGAACCTGCTTCAGCCATTCTATTCTAAGATTTAAAGATATGCGGAGATTTTCAAAGTCAAACTCTTTCAGTATGATTGGATATCTTAAAAACTTATGCATGAAGTATCAAAATTATTACTTGAAAATTCAATTCCAGATAAAAACTAAGCTGCAAAATGCTTTGATATCATTTATTTGATGTGTTGCAAATTTATCACTAAAAATTAAATTTCTTCCTTATGAAGTCTGCAAGTCATTAATCTACAACTAAAAAGCTCGACAGTTTGAATGGTATTTCCGCATAGCACATCGTTTTAAATGAGACACGCCATGCCACATAGAAGTCGAAGTTCACACAATCTCTGTTGACTATTTAAACCGTTAGTGGAACAAGATTTCATCTACTATAAAGAAACGAAAGAATAAACTTAAAGACGAATAAAATAATAAAGGTAATGAAAATTGATGAAAATAAGTAACCTGATAGTCATCGTATATCACAGCAATACTGTAGAGGATAATATTGGCGAACAAAATACTTAAACAGGCAATTAACAGTACCAAGATAAGATAGCGAATATTATTGACAAAACAACAACAAGTGAGCTGTGGAGATTTTGGCATTCGCTAAAATACATTTCCAGTCATTAGTAATATGAAATTCTTTAGACAGCACCGACTGTAAATGAACGAAACAACAGAATTATTACATTTGGCATAAAAACTGATCATTCAAAAACTTCCTCCCTTTCTCTTTCTTTCAGTTTTTGTAGAAATGGCGGACGATATATGCAAAAATTTTAGCAAAAATCTATTAATCAAGGTAAATAATCAGGTCTTGAGCGTTAATTAGAAGTAAAAATCTTCAACTTCGACAGTATCTAGTACCATGCACTCATGGTACCATGAGTAGGCTACTAATTTATCTCCAATAAAATTTCTTTTATTTCAAAACAGTCACGTGTTTCACGAAAAAGATTTGAGGACTTGGGAAATATTATTTTCGCTAACATTAAAGACAACATCTGAAATGCAAATCTTCTTAAAAAAAAAAAAAAAAAAAAAAAAGGAAGTTAATGAATGCAACCATGTTATTTCAATATTTGTGATACATAAAGAAGGGAAAAGTATTAAAATACTTAATAGCAATGACAAAAACTTTCGAAACTACTCAATTTATAGTGTATTTTCGATAGTACAGTTTAAGTACTAATGAATGCCACCTGCAACAGAAATAGAAAGGGACGAGTTTTTTAGGTCTAACTAACGGGTGACAATAGCAGTGTAACAAAACAAGTGGCGACAGTTGATGGACGAAGAAAGGTGATGAAATAAGAGATGAACGCACAATGAAAGGATCAATCCTTTCCATTTAAACCTTTTTTTTAAATACGAATTACGTTGAAAGTCGCACATATTCCACGAGTTTATGTTATTATCTATCAGTTACATCAGATAAAAACTGTTTATAATCCATGGTCGTTCTCCGTCCTCAATAATAGCCAGAAAGTGACAAGCAATGCTGACCATACGAAAAAATCGTGGACAATCTTCCCAGGTATATTCAACAATTTTTACTATCTCTAATACCTAGCTTCTTTTCTCTACACTAAGTATGTGTATTTCAAAATGACTCGGATCAAGAGACAGGTGATTAGTGTATAAGATGAAGTTAACTGATAGCAATTGATCATATTCTGCAATTCAAAAACCAATAAAGCAATTGTATGGCCACTTCTTGAATAGCACCGAAAAATTTTGCAACCGATGAGGAGTTTAATTTGTATTTGGTCTACAACATACTCCACAAAATCCACTTTTGATAAAATTCCAGCAAGGCTTATTCCTTTACTACAGATACTTAAGTAAACTTTGAGTCTGTAGGTGGAACGTGAAATAAACCAGCTTTGATCAAAGCTTGATGTATGAGATCGATTGATTGAGTCGTTTGTATTAAAACAGTATAAGAGAAAAACGTTTAGCATGAATCATGTCCGACTACGGGAACAAGAATCGAACTTATCAATAGCAGATCAGTAAATATCATTGAAATGAATATCAATTTCCCAACTAAATTGACCAGATAAGTGGTAGTCAAAACAGGAACATATCCTAACCTTCACCTGATTACAACAAACGGAAATGTGTTGGAAAAGCGATTTAAAATAACTGGAAAAATTCGGTCAAATAATAACATTTTGCTATAGGGTGCAAAATGAGAGAGAATATTAAGGAAAGAATAACGGATGAAATGAAGTGATTAAGTGAAACAAAGAAAAGGTGAAGGACTGCTCAGAAAAGGAACAATGAAATAATCTTTCTGATGAGTTTAATTGGTTAATTATTAAAGGGATTCAATTAGATTAATTTGAATTTCAAACAAACAAGGCATGTTGAAAATTAAATTTGAATGAAGTGAAATTCCCCACAGAAATATTTATCGGCTCGACAACAGATGGAACGAAAGAATAGAGTGAATTGACTGAAAGCTAAACTCCATACCAAACGAGATCTACAATGGAGTGTGGTAGAGAAAACGCATGTAGACATATTACATGTGGATGCGCAGGACTGTGATATACTCTACCTGCCACAAAGGTGCACAAACTGGCAGGGTGAAGGGAAGTGAGGGGAACGACTGTAAAATGTAGCGACCCAACACCGCTTCACATTTCATAGGGCCAATGATCGATCCATAGACATTCTTCTTTACCCGTAACAACATAACAACAAGGACAGGCTTATGAAATCAAGCAAACAAATTCTCATGTTCGGTCGTTGTGAGGTGGATCAATTGACTCATTACAAAGGTCAGGAAGCACGAACTTCTTAAGTGTAGGAAAATCACGATTGTTTTTTCTACGACAGCACAGCAGTCGAAGAGATCACTGATTATTGTGGCAGACCAATACATAGAACGATCCAAATGAATTACGAAAGTTGCATTTTGTAAAATTTCGAAGCATTCCATTTCAAGGAAGGTAATTTATTTCAATTGGAATAAAAATATCACACAAAATAAAGAGAAGACAACAAAACGGATAAAATGATACAATGATAATTGCATTCGAGGAAATGATTTCATTTCCTTCATATTTTCATATCGTTAAACATTGTTGAATTATGTCAAATGAATATATTTTAGCCTAAATCACTTCTCTAGCAAACAGTATTTTATGTATAAAATTAAAATGGCGCACAAATCACACTTCTTTACAGTACTTACTGGTACTTGGGTACTCCTCTGCAGTGAAATCTAGATTCCAAGATCTAGCTGGCATTGGTAACGTACCATCGTAGTTGGGATCTGGTAACTTTGAACGATCCACATCAGAATAATATGGATGTTTGAGGAGTTGTTTGGCTGATACACGCTTGGCTGGATCGTATGTAAGTAAGAGCTGAAAGCACTAGAAAAGCAAACTACTATTGCATGTTAGCAGTGAACTTCTGTTACTATTTTTGGAGTTTCAACATTTTTCTGTTCTCAAGCTAACCTTGATAATGTCAAGTATTCCAAGCATGAAGTATTACTAAATTATGTGTCAGGATGGCAAGAGTTTTCAACGTGAGAACTCACAGTTTTCATTATAAAAGTTATAAAATCTTAGGTTTTAATAATAAGATATGGGAGCAACTCCTACAAAGCAAATAACAAACTGAATTTAAGGAGCACAAAATCTTCATTAAGTGAGCCATTAAACAAACTCGAATTACGGCGATGCCGATGGGATCCACGTAGGAGCTGAGCAAATTATCAAAATGATCATCTTCATAACGAGGAAATACAATAGTTGAATAAAATGGTAGTTCCGATACTCCTTTCCAGATCTCTTCTGTGGGCGTTTTTAATCGTCTGACAAGGAATTGTATCACAAATCATCATATTCTGCCATGCAAAGAATGCGAAATAACAGAATTAGAATTTCTTAATTGATAATTTTACGGAAAATATTAAAAAGTGCATTTAAAATCCTTCTGAAGTTTTAGAATTTCGAATCCAGCTGATAAATATAATATATTATAATATTTATTGATTTAACAAGGAAAAAAAACGAACGAAAATATTTCTTTTATCTGACTCATTTGTGATTGTCCACGGAAGAGAACATCTTTCGTGGCCATTTCTGCAAATATACATCCAATACTCCACATATCGATTGCTGGAGTGTATCGAAGTGTTCCAAGAAGAAGTTCGGGTGCTCTGTACCATTGCGTTGCTATCTAAATTTTAGATACATTCAACAAATTAGAACAAACAATGTTTCATGTAAAGCATTAATAATGCTAAAGAAAGGATAATTAATAAATGTATCAAATCCTGAAGGTCTGTCATCTCACCAAAATTCTTTGTCTCAAACATTTTAAGCCTTGTAAAAACATTTTTTAAAGCTTCGTATTCTTAAGTAAGTCAGTCAAAAATCTAAATTAGTCATGAAGGTATGCGCACCCTACTTGTATAAGCACGTATTGGCATGCTGAACTCTCTCGCTAAACCAAAATCGGCAATTTTGATAGCACCGTAAGTATTAAGTAAAAGATTTGATGGTTTCATATCGCGATGCAAGATGGCTCGCTGATGACAATAGCACATTCCTTGAAGGATTTGATATTGAAATGATTTCTGCTAAAATACATTAACATTGTGGGAGCCGTTAAATTATATTACTGGCTTGAGTGTGCATTACTATTCATCACTGATTTAATAAACATCTTTGTAAGACACGAGGTCCCACCTAGTTCTGAAAGCTTTTTTTTAGCGCAGCGGAAATTTGCTTAAAACGTATTACTTTTAATACGCTTCGAAGTGCAATCAATAGCCTTGTTTCGGATGGATATCGTCACCGCTAGTGACTTTGTCATTTACTAACTACTTGGAATTTAATTCAGTCTGTTCATTGGCGGTGGTAGGATCGTGTGATTAACAATACAACCGGACATTAATCTTTCAAATGAAGTCCACAATATTATGTGATCAATCTCTGCTTTTTTCTATTCTCTAGTTAGATTGCGTTGGGTACAGTAAGAATTGATAATTAAACTTCAGTTATGTAATAAATCAAATGGTGACACAAATAATGCATGTTAAAAAAGTAAACGTTACAAGCCATCGTTCCATGAAGATATTCCTGGGTAACTGTTTCAGATATTTCCACAAATCGATATACAAAAATTCGAAAGCCAAATGTACATTTGTCTCATCAAAAATTACTTCTTCAAGTCTGAAATCGTACAAGCAAAAATACAACGTTAAAAAAAAGAAAAAAAGGACTCCCGCTACACTTAACAAAACGGAAATGCTTTGCTCCTCGATATTTAAATAACAGAAATTATTAAATGCCTGCTCACTAACCGTACAATATTTGGATGATCCAACTCTCTCATAATTGATATTTCACGTAAAACAGCGGGTTTAAGCATACCGTCAGGAGTTCTATCGAAACAAAGACGCTTCAAAGCAACGAGTTTCCCGGTTCGAATGTCAACTGCTTTGTAAACCATGCCGAAACTACCTCAATTAATTAGTGCTTTTCGAACTAATTCTACATATGTTCATCTTAGAGCAATTTCATGATTAGATAAAAATAAAATGTATAACAAAATATGCAACTCGTAATCATTGTTTAAGACGGCTCTGTAATCCTTTTCTAAAGATCGCATTTGCCATGAAAAAAATAATGCCACTGAGAGAGCACGATGCACTGCTATTAAACAGCTAGTGGAGATCCTCCCATCACAGTATATTATTAAAATATTCAAAACAAGCTGATTTGCACTAAGCAGTCCAGTCTACAGTAGCAATGATGCATTAAAGAGAAATATTCACCTTCACCGATCTTCTCTATCATGGAATAATACTTCAATCCGTCTTCCGAAGTGGTCATATCCAAACAATATACGTGCAAATAATTTCCCCTTCAAAGATACATTTCAGTCTGAATTTGAAATTGAAACAATTTATTTGGTATACTAGATTTAATAAATTTTAAGATTTCCAAATTTGTTAATTAAAAAATGAGTTGTCACGGTTATCATTGGAAAAGCCTACGGTATTAAAACAGCTTTGAAAGAAAGTACAGATATATTATTCATAACTACACAGTCTTCTTAGAACTATCATTACTCGTCATCGTCCTCCTGGCCCCATCTGAATTTCACAGGTTAATTTGCTGAGAAATCTCAACTTATCCGAACTTATGACATAAATCACATTGTTGCGTGCCAACAAAACACCACCCTCCTCATTTATAGTTTACCAGGTGATTCTTTAAATTCAACATATTTGGAAAACAGTTTTTGAATGAAGTTTAAATGAGGAATAATGTTCGCCACAAACTGACCACACGTACTAGAGCCCTGAACATAAGAAAAAGATCACCCTCCATGTCCATCTGCTTGAAGCATTGGTAGATCACAAAGATCTTATATCCTTACGAGCTGTAGAAAACGAAGCTGTTACTGTCACACTCATTTTTCGCAAAAAGGTTAGTTAGCATTCGATATTCTAAGTGATAAGCATTTTGTATCACAACGGCTAGAGATAAGCGATATCAATGTAGTACTAGAACTGGTGTCGCCCACTTTTCCTAATATTTTGAATACTGTAAAAACGAAGAAAAACTTGGTGTAACGGAACCAAAGCACAAATATGTCATCAGTCACTACTTTGAGGGATTCACTGTCAACCAACACAAATGCAAATCTTTTTAATGCAATCCCAAACGTGCTATACGTGCACTTATCATCTGCCTAAATAATCGCTAAAACGAAAGGACAAAAAGAACCTTCTAAAACTGCTTATTGCTTAGAAGACTTATGGGAAGAACATCAAAATCTAATCCCATTCCTTCACGATGCATGACCCCACACGTAATGAACATGCACCACTTTTTGTCATTGCACCTTATTGCGTCATCCCTACTACATCGCTTGTTGTGAGCAAGACTTGAAATCATGCTCTATAAAGTTTGTAGAATTTGGAAAGGATTTCTTCTGGAAAGCAAGACTCATCAGTATATGAATACCTGACAGTTCAGCCATTTCTAGCAACAGTCTGTTCCATAAATAAAATATACAAATATTCCATAAACAAAACGTGAGAGAAAGGTCAGTTAAAGAAACCTGTTTATTCTATTCTAAGAAGGAGAAAACGACAATAATTTGCACTTGTACCTGCTGAAGCAAAATTTAAAATGCATGAAGGACACTTACTGTAACCACTTTTTTTTTCAAATAAATCAGAACTTTGGGTAAATACAAGACCATATGAAGCCAATGCTCAACATTTATCAATAAACACTATATTTTTATGGTTTATGAAACAGTGATGACCAAGAACGAATAGAATAAACTGAAAGCACAGTCAGTTTTTAGGACAAAAGAAGCTAGGATAAAATCAGATATATCGAGGCGGTAAAACCAACGTCCCATCATAACTGCCAGCTGGAAGTTTCTTTCTATCAACATCATCAAAGTAAGGGTCCTTCAACAGCTGTTTCGCTGAAATTCGCCGTGCTGGATCGTAAGTAAGCATGTCCTGTTGAGAACGTACGGTAAATGCAAACTTCAAAGTAATTTCCATCTAAAGTAAATTATTAAAACCTGAAATACTCAAACATCCAAATCCTAGTGATTAATCCTTACGCGCAAAATCTTAATGCCTTCGGGATCCATATAAGCGTCAAGAATTTTGCGGAGGCCATCTTCCTTCCACTGAGGGAATGACATCTTGAAATCTGGTAGCTGAGTAACTCCGTGCCAAATATCTTCGGTAGGAGTCGACATTATTCTGAAAGAATAAAAAACAGAAAATATAGATAGAAAAATCAATATAAATACAGAAAACATACCGAAAAATACGGAAAATCTGGTCAATTTCCGAGTCACCCTGAAATAGTGGTACTTTTGTCGCCATTTCAGCAGCAATGCATCCGATGCTCCATATATCAACTCCCATCGAATAACGAGTTGCGCCAAGAAGTACTTCAGGAGCTCGATACCATAAAGTAACAATCTGTTGAAGAGAACAATTTTATATACTATGATCGGAATATTTTCACGATAAATTTCCTGACTACTAAAAATAAGAACTAAAAATGAAGTAACCTACTTCATGAGTATAAGCCCTTATCGGAATACCGATAGCTCTTGCAAGACCGAAATCTGCAAGTTTAATGGCACCATTTTGATCCACCAACAAATTCTGTGGTTTCAAATCACGATGGAGAACACGCCTCTGGTGGCAAAAACAAATGGCTTGCAATATTTGATACAAATAAGATTTTTGCTGCAATGACTAAACGACTTATAATTTATAATTACTATTCAGTTCATTTAACATATCACAACCATTGCTACAAATACATAGTCTTCGTCCCACTTTATTGAATATCCACTTGTGGAAGGGAAATTGTAAAAAGTTCACTGACCAGTTCTTTGTTCATCAACTCACAGTCAGGAACTGTATCGATGTATTTCTTCAAATCCATATAAAGAAATTCAAAAATCAAGTATAATCGATTCTCTTCCAGTATTATTTCCTCAAGACTAAAAATATGAAATTTCGACCAATGTCGATTATATGTATCAATCAAAAACTAAAGCAACGATGTCTGGATGTGTTAACCGGATAAAAATGGACTTTCTCCCTTAAGGTAATACATCCGAAATTCGGCGACGAATGTTTTTGGCGCTGAAACAAATATTTCCTACCCAACATAAACTCTATCGAAATATGTAGTTTCATTCTTCACTTCGTCTACCAAATCTTTACAAACCCAAGAATATGTATCAACGAAAAACCAACGCAACAATATTTGGATGTGTTAATTCTCGAAGTAATGAAATTTCTCGAATTGCTGTTGCTGGCACACCTTCATCTTCATTTTCTAAACGAATCTTTTTCATTGCAACCATCTTCCCTGATCGTTTGTCGATACCTTTGTAAACTACTCCATATGTTCCTAAAAGTACTTGATATCTTTATAGAAATTTGTTTTCGCAAAATCATTCTGTAAAAAACCAAATTGAAAGAAAAATCATACACTTTTTAAATATTACACCATAAATTGATAGGAGTACAGAAGAAGCTGCGTTGGATAATATTGACACAACTGAATAGAAAGTCAGAGAAATCAGAAGGTCGGAAAGGGTACAGCTAAAACCAGTACATGGTTCGACCCATCAATATTTATCATAATATAACAGATTTGGTCAATCAAGCAAAATGGAGTAATCCTATAATTACTCAAATCTTCATGTCTGGCACGTAGTTAAATCACTATCAATTCAGACATTTTTAGTGATTTTATGATGAGAAATTTCAGAAAAATACCTTCGCCAATTTTCTCAATTCGACTATAATTTTGTAAAGCACTAATTTCTTCCTTGTCCATTCTTTGTACTGCAGAGGATGTGAATGGTTAATAATTGTTATTTCTGAAAAAAACAAATTACTAGTCATACAATAACAGTTCAACCAAAAACAATTCATTTAACCTTCAACTGAAAAAGCGCTGAAGGAAGAACGAACAAAAACAAGGCCGTTGGTAAACATTGTTATTCCACTTTTTAGCTAATATATTTTAAACATTCAGAAACTGGCTAGAATTTCGCAACCATAATCACAATAAAGAGTTAAAATTTCATCGAAATCTTACTTCATTTATGAATATATAAAGTCAATATGAAAATCCAAGTACTGTTTTCAAGTACCATTTAATTGCTTATTCAAAAACGATGTACGAATAATATTAGCAGTGTACGATAAAATGAAAACATAATTTTTCGTCTACCTAAAGATTCTCGAAAATTAACAACATACTCTTAAAGAACTATGGAGGAATACGATGACAAGTAAACAGGCTGTGGGTAAGTAAAGCACACCCAAAGAATATAGCTATGCTGGTCACCCATACACCAAAAGAACCGTATATGCCATTCCCAGGAGAGTTGCAAGAGGAATAAATTTAAGGCAAAAACCGACTAACCTATTTATGGTTGATAAATAAAAAAAAATTTTCTTTTTGTTTTCTTGCAAAATTTGCAAATTTTGCATCGAGATTTGAAGTGATGAGTCATTTGAATTTAGAGTTTGATATATTACAAAATCAACGAAAAAGCCCAATTCAATTACTAAATCTTGCAAATGAATAGCAAGCGATGTGACCATGCAAACATCCTCGAACTTCATAGGATGGGATATTTTCTGGATTTCGAGGAAGTGCACAGATATACTCGAGAACATCGACAAACCACGGAGCAATTACTAGAGCATGAAGAGCCAACCTCCAATCTCTAGATAGCCTACCTGAGGCATACTCAATCAAACAACTTCAGTCCTCGACAGGTCTCACCACAACTTTGCTCCCTGCTATTTAGATGTTACGCGCTCTTTCCGCTTCGTTCATTACCATACGTCAAACCGTAAAATCGAGCCTCTCTATCCTTTGCCTGCACTCACTGGGAGAACATTCATTCAAATTTGGTCACCAATTTCGCGCCTTTGAAATCACTATGAAACGAGAACTGTCCCGCAAGCCTTTTGTGACACATAATGGGCACAACAATGGGGCATCCTATATCGGCAGCGTACGGGCGAGAGGGCTCAACAGATCTTGGGGACTCTTCTCCGAGAGTCCTGCGTTGAGTGACTTTCTGTTGTTGATCTATGTGTCATGTATAACATGGTTAATGCAAGTGATCATAAGAGATTTATTGATATCAATTCATTATATATGCAGTTGAAGTCCATTTTCAGAGAAGCCAAGAGACTGAAGAGTAAACAAGTTAACACATTCCATACCACACTGCTATTAATACTAATTTTCAACGATATACGATGAGAATTCCAACAAATGATGATGAATAAGTAAAATACACTGAAACACTGAGGAATCATTGGTTTTTTATGCTCGAGTCTTCTTTACAATGAGCGGTCCGACATTGTCACCGGTAACTTGATTGTGCTTGTTATGGCTTCCATCGCAATAAGGCCACTGTAATAAAGTGTCCATCAAAATTAAGTCGCATCCTCTATAAACAAAGGACTACCGAGCCTATGTGCTCTATGTATCGTGAATTAATCGAAGGGTAGTGACATCAAGTAAAAGAGCAGCTGATAAAATCAGGGAGTAATCAATATGGCGTATAATGATAGGTCGCTGAAGTACAATACAAACTAGAACATCCCCACCATAAAAAAACTGTTTTTGATCAAGCACACTGATGCCACTAACACTAAGTTAAGTTCTATAACGGTTGCAATATTAAAAAAGCTTTATGAAATTGTAGCCGACAAACCCATTTATTACGGACTGCTCTTTTTAGTAATTTTTCTTGGTCTATCCTTTGCCGCTGTTATATACAAATAGATTATCGAAGTGTAATAAAAGAGAGGTGAGGGTTACGTTTTTTAAAACATTTATAAACGGTATATTTACCGTACTCCAAGCGAGGACGACCCAACAATCAGAAAACGACAAACTCAAGGAGTGTTTCTTTCATAAACAGAATTCTTTTATTGTTGAAGAAAAAAACTACATGAGAAGTGATGCAACCGAGGATGAATATATCATGTCTAACAAGCTTAATTCAGTAAAGTTATCCTACTGCAAACTAACATTGTTGCTCTTCCAGCATCGACAGAACACTTTTTGCTCGCCAATGTCTTCTAAATCAACCGTTTCCGCTACCTTGAAATAGAAAGTATGCATTTCTTTTTTTTGAGATTAGTTTTTCTGCTACATTAGTACCAAAGTCAGGAACACCTGAGTGTTGCCAACGTCGACACTACGTCAGTTACACATGAAGAGCAAGCTCTCTTTGCACAACTCAGACGCGATTAACAATATTGCCTCAAGCCGTTTAATTAAATGCACCCGTTATTTGAGCTAATGATATTTTGTAACTGTATTTGCAACGACTTAATTTGAAAAATTGCGAGTACAAAAATTACTTTATCAATGGAAAGTTTGATTTTACTATTAATGCGTGTTTTCTTTTTTGACAGATGCATACCAATGTAATATCCAAACAACGCAGATCCAATCAACGCGCCAATTCCAATTATCCAGTCCTTCACTGTGGAGTATTCTGTCAACAAACAAAAATACCGCATATTTTTAACTAAGCACTCTCGGAATAAACATACATAATTGAAATTGTAAACTTTTAGCAGATTGGTACTAAAACGTCTTTTTAAATAAATCTTAGCAGAAACTGAGAAATGTAAACGTACGGGCTTGCTGAAGTGGACTGTAACCCATGGACTCAGAAATCTCGCTGTAAACAGTTGTAAAAATAAACAATTTTTGACATTTTCGAGAAACAAAGTATCGAAAATGTAAACTGGAATGTAGTTGCCACTGATTACTCAGGATAAAATTCATTTCGCAAAATCCAGCTTTATTCCAAGGTTTCGAAAAGTTCAGGACATGGATACATCATAACAAGGTAATCGAAAAGAACAGTAATAGCAACGATGGAACAAGCATAAAATATTAAAATAAAGTGTTTTCGGGCACTCAGTTCCATATTCCACGACTTATTACTTACTTGTTCAACAAGCGAAAAGGAATAAAAGAGCAATTACATCTGAGAAAAGATTAGCATGCAGAAATCATCATCAATGCTACAACCACAAATGCTCACTGCCAATGACTCTCCTCCAGATACTGAACACTAATCGCCAGACTTCGAGAATTAATAATATATCATCAAAAATGAAATATATTGCAAGATTCATCTTGCAAACATAATAATTACTGTCACGACGATAAATCAGGGTCAGGTAACCGTCTAAATACAGCAGGCCACTTCGACCCCTCGTTACGTGTTACTTTTTGTCCTTCTTCTGTGCTGTCGTAAAGCATTTCTGCGATTGAATCCGCTTTCATTGCTAAATCGGTTAGACGTTCAAATAAAGGATGAGCAGAGAGATGTTTTACCATCCAGATGTGTAATTCTTCAACATCCGTTATCGTATAAATCAATCCTTAAAAGTATAAGTTGGTTTTTTTAAAACTACAATGGTCAAAACCGTCTCATTTTCTTTGGCAAAAAACTGGATCACTAGTGCATAGCTCTGCTAAACGAAATTAAATATTTAAATTATTGAATCAGGAACTTATGATCACCACTGATTTCAAAAACTTGCCAAATACAGTTTCAGAGTGCTCTTAGGCAGATTTTTCGACGATACTAAAACACGCTAAAATTAAGAAATTGAGCAAAGCATGAAAAACTAAATCAAGTTATGCAATGCCTTCGTTTCACAACATAGTACTGAAGAAAGAACTCGTGTGCCTTATCAATTATGATCTTGTAAAGCAGGGATCGGATACAGCCATATATTTGCCGATCCTGATGAAAATAGAGCAGTCTCCAACACTTTAATCAAAATAATCACCTGAAGTTTCAATGAATAAGCTGTTACCTCCTGGTTTCAAAACATAAGCATATTCAGCTAGTAGAGTTGGTGTAATAATTCGCCACTTATGTTTCGCTTTTTTAAAATGCGGATCTGGATACAAGAAAAACATCTTAGTAAGCTGATGTCGACGAAAGTAATTTGGTAAATATTTCATTGCATTCGTTCGAAGACATGCCACATTTCGGTAATTTCCTGGTTCTCGAAGGCGTAGGGCACGAATTTTGTCTTGCACATAGTCGCTAACCTGTGAATCAGAGAAGGTTTAACAAAAAGATTCCTGCGCCTGTATGCAAAAAAATGCGAACATTGCAAAATCAATAAAATAAAATAATTTCATCTTGCTCACTCCGCCTAAAATACTTCACTTTTTCGTTTTCTCTGAAATCAATAAGAAACAGTAAAGTTCCTCGTAAGCTAGTACAGTCACTGCTCTTTTAGTCTTACCTATTTTTACATTTCTCATCAGAAATTTCGGTTCCAACAGTTGGGATTCTCAATACCTTAACTAACTACTTGACGACAAAAGTCAATTGAAATAGAGAAATTGTATCTCAGAAATTCTCAACTAACTCGAAATAGAATTTAGTTATTACCATATTTTGATAACTTACATACTTTCACTCGAATCTCCAATCCAACCATCAGAGTTTCCGGATACAAAGCAGAAAGCTTAATTAGCAAACCCCCATAGCCACAACCAACATCAACAAACTCTACCTGACGTCCTTCGCTAAAGTCCCCAAAATATTTTTTCCAATCCATCCTTAAAAATCGGTTTCTCGTACTACTAATAAGATTCATTTTATTAGAAATGACAGTCATACCAATAATTTTGCCAAGATGATGTTAATTCAATTCGCCTATATGAAACAGTTTTATCTTACATAGGCTAAGGTAGTTTTAAAGTCGGGAAATACACTAAGGATAAAAAGCGCAGTAACAAGCTCGAAATATGGTTGATCAATTTTTTTGAAAAATATGTAAACAAATTTTTTCATCGCACTATCCCAATTCAAAGTAAAATCGGTTTAGATGTGATTTGAACAAACAATAGCCTAATCAATTAGAAATAGGTCGCTGACTGGAACTGAGATCTTAAATACACTTATCAATACTGCATAAGCCATTACTATACGCCCGTACTGATACTCTGCAGTGAGTCAAAAAAATTGGTGGGTAAGAAAAATCAACAAATTCACAGTTCACATACTTCTCAGGAAAAACAGGATAATCGAATTCATGATCACTAATCGGGTTAGCATGAGCCCTTTGTCGGTAGAATTTCTTCTGCGGCAATTCTCGCATTTCTTCATCATGTATACCGTCGTTTTCCACTGCAATCCATTCGGTTCTATTTTCTGTGCTACTCATGTGTCGCTGGTAATTACATTCAGTCTTCCTAAATTATTAAATCTTTGCTATGTGATGTGCACAAAAGTGCTGCGAATTCTCCTTTCGCACTAATCTCCACAAGTTCATCATTTATATGAATTACACTCGCATTAAAAAATAAAAGTTATTAAACAATAAGTGTAACTTCCTTCTACGGTAAATCACTACATAAAATCAGTATACATTCAACGACATATGTCCGGTGAACACCTTACATCAGAGAATTAGCTCACTAGTAATGACAGCACCAAATAACCACAACATATTCATGTCATTCTTAGTAAATTATCACTAGTGTAGTCACCTCTGGTAGGATGAATGTGGAAAGATAAACCATAATTTAATTCATAGTTTCATTATATAATTCATAGTTTATTCCACAAACAAATGACAACTGTAAAACTGATATCACGAACCAATACTTTCAGGAATAACAGAAAAGATGAGGGACGAACTACGTAACTAGTACTGTGCAAAATCTCGGACCACTTAACATAATAGAGTTAAAATTATTCGTACTGAAATCTTAGCCCATTTCCAAGGAGAGTTATTTCGCAACATTAATGTCTGACTTTTTTGTTTAAAATTAAATTTTTATATCTCCTTTTATAAAAATTAGTTGCTATACCAGTAGTCTAGAAAGAGTCCATAAAAAACCAAGAAAAGAACTTTGACAGAGCAAAATGCTCAATAAGGAATTCCAGTATAATTAAGCATTAATTTATAAAGTCAGTTTTTTCCCTGAAGTTGACAAATTAATTTATAAAATAGAAGACTGATGAAACCCAGATCTAGCTATATACTAAACTATCTAAATAGTACCAGGCTAAAAAAAAACTGTTCTGTAAGCAAATCGAAAATAACAATCATGTAGATTTGGCACTTATTGCACTGATAAAATTATAAATTTGATTACAATAACATCATCAAACATAGAATCAGAAAACCAAGGAACCTCAAGGCAAAAAAAAAAGTGACACGGAACGATTAACAGCAATACGCAATATGGTCATAGCATGCTATGCTCTGCATGCTGCACACCATCTTAATAAAATTTTACTTATGAAATTTATCAAATTAATAAATTATGTTTCTTTTACTAAAACATAATCAATCATTAAACAGTTCATAATTTCTTATAAAATACCCACCAAAGCTTTATAACAACCTCTTCCAACAAAAACACCATTGAAGTTTTGATAGCATATTCTAACATGAGTAGAAATTCATACACTGTAGAAACGCGAAAGAACAAAGTTCACTAATGCCCAAGATACAGAAATTGTTTGCACAATTATGGAAAGGTTGAAAAATCTGCAAGCTCAACGAGTAATACATCTACATTCTCGACAGCGCATTCTCAAAATATGAATTCCTAATATCAGAAATTCTCATCCTTGAGAATGCTTAGCGGACTGGTTTGATTTCTTCTGTCCTGTGAAGATGTGATGCTTCCTGCGTCTCGCCGGTAATTCTATAGCGGATACCTAAACACTCGAATCCACATGAGTATTTATAATATGCTTGCGTAACTTTAAGAAACTGAAATATAATTTTACCTGCCGAAATATAATCCGGAGTACTATCATGTATTAGGATGCACAGTGACAGTCTTTTTGCACTAATAACAAGTAAAAAATTAAACTGTAAGATTAAGCAATAAGTCTGTTATTTAGTCGGTCCGAAAGTATGTTAGATTAAAGACTAACCTGAAGAGGCCAACCGCCACCAATTACACCGGCTTGTACGGAAGCACCAGTGACAACAGCCAGTTCCGGATTAACACCATGATTTGGTGCCTTGCTAAAAGCAATCAAATGAGAACGCCAATGTTTCGAATTTCAAACGATTTATTCAGAATGAAGACAAATGAGCTAAGCATGACTCCACTTGATTTACATAGATACCGGACCAAACCATCCAATCCTTAAGCTTTTATTTTAACTCTTACCGAGACGACAATCTATGTGTAGATTTTTCTTTCTTTTATGTTAATTTCACTCGTTCAATTTCGTACAATGAAGTGTGTTTTCAGGAATTGAGAAATTTACCCGAAATAGCGACCAACAACAGAACGCACACGTGGAATGCGAGTTGAACCACCAACCAGTACAATTTCGTCAATATCGGATGCCTTTATTTCCGCGTCATTTAATGCTGCTTCTATTGGTTCTGTGATACTTTCAAACAAATCTTCATTCAAAAATTCGAAGTCGTTGCGTGTAAGCTGGAAATGAAGATTATACTAATTAATACTACTTAATTTCTTTTTTATACAAAAAATATTTGAAAGTTGGACTTTTAAATAATTTCAAAACCTTATAAACATTACTCTGTAATGCATCTTTCCCAGTGACCGTAAATTTAAATCAACGTTAGTGACGGGAAGTGCAGTAAGCTGAATTTTCGCAGCTTCAATTGCAAGTCGTAACTGTTGGATATCTTCCTTGTCATCAAGCACTTTGCCATAATTCTTTTTTATATGCTGTAAATGAAGAAGGTACAGGTAAGAAGTCTAACATACAATTATAACCAACTGTTAGTAAAAAAACATTTAGAAACAGTACATGTCAATTTTAACTGGAAACAAATATTAACTGGAACTTGGGAAACAGTGATAAGTCAAACATTCCAAAGTCCAAACATTTTGTTGCATATAAAACGCCTTATATACTTCAATTTCAAAACTATCAAAATTACGACTGCGTGGATAAGAAAAATATATAAAACAGTATATCCAATCATTTTGACCTGCATTAAATGATTCTGAACACGGTCATTAAAATCTTGCCCGCCAAGTCTATTGTTACCAGCCATCGCTACAGTCATAAACACGCCTCCTTGCAACCACAATATCGAGACATCTAATGTACCGCCACCTTAGATAAAAAATTATTTATTAAAAACATGGTAATACAGAACAACGAATTAAAAAAAATGTGTGGAGAAAAAAACGTATTCAATGTACATCTTAAAAGAATCCAGTAAAAATGAATGCCTGAAGCGCAGCATGTTGCACAGTATTCCTAGTGTACAAAAATCGAGTTTATTTACAATAAAAAAAACTGACCTAGATCGACTACAACAATGTATTGAACGTCTTTTTTCTTATGTAAACCATAAGCAAGGGCAGCTGCGGTTGGCTCACTAATCACACGCCGACTTTCCATTCCTAAAAATCAATTATAATTAGCAAAAAAATATCTGTATAAGAAAAAAAATTCCTTCTTCATATAATGAATTTCAAAGTCAAAATATCCCAGATAACGTTGGGCTCGATGATATTTTATTCTTGTGATTGACAACAAACCGGCTTTTTCAACAGCTAGTGAAGTAGCATTCCGCTGCTCATCATCGAATTCAGCTGGGACAGAGACAACCGCCCGAATGATTTCTGTTTCATATTTCTTCTCGGCTGCTTTTCGAAGATAATTTATTATTATGGCACCAACTTCTTCTGGTCTTAATTTTCTAAAAAAAAATGAAGTATTTAGATTAGCCAGCTATGGAAGTTTTCTAATTTCAACAGAGTAAGCAAAAATTTTACAAAATATAAAAATGATTTTTTCCAAGCAATACTTCATTTTAGATCACGGTTGCGGATTTCGAGAAATTTCTGCCTTATGTGAACTTACTTGATAACATTATTTTCCAATGGTATAACAAACAATGCTCGCCCTTCTACGTCTAACTCAATTTTAAACGGATATCGTTTCCTATCAACCTGCAAAAAAACTTCGAAAATCAAACACCTACAACTTATAGCTAACACTTATAGTTCGGAATGTCCCCTATTTACAAAATAATCGCAAAACGATCCTAAGATTTTAAATGTTTTCTCAAAAGAATGCGAACCAATTTTTTAGCTCACACTTCTTTTTATGCTATCTCCCATGTTATCATGGAAAGAACGATATAATAAAACATTAAATACGCTTGTAAAACTGATCAGATATAGAATATTCATACTAGCTTTATAAGGAACGATATGAAAGTGTCACCTGAAATTGCGGGTCGTCTTCAGATAACTTTCTGCCAATGAAACGTTTGGCATCATATATTGTTCGTGAAGGATTGTGCTCTTGCTGTTCAACAGCTTTTGAACCCACTATCACAGTACCATTTGGCCTGTCACATTTAAAAGTGATTTTAGGAAATGAAAGGGGACAGAATTTGATTAGCAGTTTAAAAAAAGGACAAAAGTGAATGTTAACGATAACTTACAAAAATGCAACAACACTTGGAATACTCTGTCGTCCCGTTTCATCAGCAATTATATCTGTCGCCCCAGTGACAGCCTGATATATGCCGATTGATGAAAATGTTGTGCCCAAATCGATAGCAGCAATTTTAGGTGCTGGAGGAGGTAATCCATACTTCCGAGCCAAATAACCAGCCAGAAGCAGTGACAATAAAGATGTGCCTGAATCCGTGAAAATCTACGAATTACATGATAACAAAACTACCTCATTTCACAACTAAATTTTTGAAATGCAATTAAATTCCAGGTATGGAATGTAATGACACTATACAGTCGAGGAACTGCCAGATAACACGAAATACTCAGTTGATCCCTCTTGAAGTATCTTACCCGTACAGTAAGTAGATGAAAAAGATGCCTAAGAAGTACGTAGAATAAACAAAAGTGGAAACACGCTAGATTACATAATTGTAAACAGTAGGAAGCAATTTATGTAAACAGTAGGAAGCAATTTACCCAATAATGATAACGAGAAAGACATATGCGTCGAAATCTCCAAATATGACGTCGTTACAATGTAGATGACATCATCGTGGTGTAACAGTCGTACGATTACGTGTTACTTCTATTTGACTACGTATGCTACTGTTGAATTTGAATGGATTAGTTTAGGATGGAATAAACATTGAGGAAGTGAAGTTGCTGAAGAAACCACTGCAAGGCAACTTCAACTGTAGCCAAACGGAATAATCGGAAAACGGTAGTGTGTAACTCTCCGCGGCCGACCACGAAATACCGGTCTTCTTGAAGTCAACGTGTTTGAGCAGAACGCTAGCTATCTGGGTGTCTGTGTCCCTCATTCTTTTTTTCCAAATCAAAATTAAATTGTAAGGTTTCTTAGAATTGAGAAGTCGAAGAACATTCCGAACAGTAAGACAATCCATAAAGAAAAAAATCGTTGACAAATTTCTCCCATCCAAAAATATTCAAATATTTGAGAATCGATTTTAGACTTATAAGCGGACACTTCGATAAAATGAATTATTTGTAGTGGTTGTTCGTTATATTAAACGGTTAAATTCTAACATTCTTTTAAAAGGTCACAGAAAATTTGGTGCGACCGCAGTGGCAGGCTATTTGCGATTATTTAGTAGCAAGCCAGATTTGCGAGCACTCTTGTCATACCTCAATTTAATTAGTTGAAACCATCTATTGTAACTGTCTAAGGCATATAATTCTGTGCTGTATTTTATTGTCAAATACCTTGATCCTTGCATTCGTCCAGGCCGGAGAAACAGGTTATAAATTAGATTTGGAAACTATAATATGTGTCTTTAAAAGAAAACTGAATAAATCTTGGAGCCAAAGATAGACATCGACATCGCCAAGTCAAGGGGCCACTGAAATCTAAAAAAAGTTTTGAATTCTTGTAGCTTTGAAATGCAAGCAGTAAAGTCTTGCAGAATTTCAGTGCTAAAGCCAATGTCACGAAATTCGGTAATCCAGCATAGTTTGCCATGTCCTCCATTGCAGCAGGAGGAAGTTGATCAGCTTATTCATGGGATGTTGAATGCTTGCGGCGGAGAACGTCCCATTAGTGAATTGATCACTTTGGAAAAGCTTTTCTTTGTACGAATGATCGGTTCATTTTGAAGTTGAGAGTGAGAGAGAAAGAAATTATAAATAGTAGCTTCTCGAAGTTTGCTTATACTAGTAGTTTGAGAAGTTTAAGATTATACTTACTGCTGCTGGTCGCAGAAATGGATCACTTAGGACATAGCTTGTAAACGTTGTTCCTTGTTGATCTTATCGGACATTTTGAGTACATGTCGCTTTCGAGTGTCTTCATATACTCTTTCCAATATTGGTTATTTTAAAACAACAACAACCTATCCAAGAAAGGCATTGCTGCATGGAGGAGTCTCGCGCGTTACAGATTTGTCACAAAACAGTTGATCTCTTGAGAGAGTGTGGTACATTGGAATACATTCATGACCCGGATGGCGTTGCTATATTTGGTGATTTACACGGCAGTTTATACGACTTATTCAGAGGAATAAAGGACGCCGGTTGGCCTACCGAGCGAACCTTAATTTTTCTCGGTTAGCTGTGAAATATAGTGTGTGTTAAAATTCCAATCCTTCAAACAATTTAAAACCCATTCTTCAAGTAATCATAATGCATTATACACTTCTTAATAAAGTAAATCGAGAAAAAAAAACAATTTTGCACCTTTCAATTCTACTTTTCTAACGTAAAAGTGAAGATCTGAATCGAAATTATCAATAGGAGATTACATTGATCGCGGGAAGCACTCCCTCGAAATGGTCTTATTGCTTTTCCTGCTGAAATTACGCTACCCGAAAAGAATGTACATGCTGCGTGGTAATCATGAAACGATGAGTCAGTGCTATGCAAATGAAGATGAGGAACGTGGGTTGATTCGAAATGTGCGTGTGTTTTTCTTTGCAATGTGAATTTCATGACTATGTTGATTTAGGCTCCCTCTTCCTAATTATTTGACTTCCGTCCTTTAATGTATCTATTCGCCGGACATTCACGACATGTTGGAAAATACTCCTCACGTCCTGAATTGTAAAATGCGACTGAACACTTTAAATTGTCATTTCTTGGCGGAATAGTGTTGACGCTTTTCGAATATCTGTTCGCATTAGCAGTTTAGATTAATTGAATAAGAGATTTGTGTTTACAGATTGAGCGTTGTTATCCGAATGCTAATAAGAATCTGATACTGTTTAATATCAATTTTGTTTTCGATCACTTACCACTTGCTGCCATATTATCAGGTCAGTAGGAATAGTACTGCTTATCATGTACATATCAAAATTTTGTTCGTTGTGCATTACTAGTAGTTTCTGCTGGCTTCAATGGTCGAGAGTTTTTCAACCCAATAAGGGAAAGGATATTGGAAATTAAAATAGCAAATAATAGATTCTGAAAAATCTTTGCCCAAAACTTCATCAAAAAGCGCCTACTAGTGCAACTAATAAATGCCTAAGTAATTAATTACAAATATCTGTGTTTTCCGATGTTAACAGTATTGTCCTTAAAAGACCACAAGAAGATGAGGCATAAAGCAGATTAAAAAAAAGCAGATTGTAGTAATTATTCTAGATCAAGTCTTACTTTGTCATGGTGGTATCTCGCAATTTATAAAATCGAGAGAAGACATTGCTCAGATACCACGTCCGTTAACATGGCTCGCGCCAGAAACAAATGTCTTTCACATAAGCATTATGACAGATATTCTATGGGCTGATCCATCTAAGGAAATAACGTATGTTTTTGTTCAGTGTGAACAGCATCCAATAATTTCGCTATTCAAGAATTTAGAATTTTGAGACTTCCAAATTGAATGGCATCTGATATTAAGTAAAATTATTCAGACAGGTGAAAAGTTCACATGTGCTTGAAAAACTTGGGATTATAATAAAAGAACGATACTAACCCTCCATGCAAACTAATTTATGCATGTGTATATTCAACGGTCTTGCTTCCGATAGCTTTGAATGTAGGAATTTTCCATTAGCGTGATACTCTCAATGTCACATTACAGTTATGCAAAAGTATTTTCAATCTTCAGATCGAAATATTCACCTTCCGAACGTGGTGCATCTTATTTTTTCAACCGGAGAGCATTGAAAGAGAAACTACGAGAATTAAATTGTCGAGCTCTCATACGTGGTCACGAAGCTAATACAGTAAGTTATGAAAGTAATACAGTGAGTAATGCATACAACAATAGAGTTGCACAATAAGCAATGGCTAATGCAGCAAACTAATACAATGATGAGACTAATGCAGTAGGTAATAATACAGTATTAAACATGAAGCTAATCAACTGACGGAAACCATGCCGTAAGTTGCTGCGAACTGCATGCAAACAATGGTTTGACGGAATTTCCTTCGTTGATTTATTATTAGCCTCTTTACAGTAAGTAAGCTATACATGGTACAGTATCGCACTGAAACAATAATGATTGCTGTCGGGGAATGATTTTGTAGATTTAACTTTGTTGTTTTAACTCCGCAGCATTGATAGTAGTAACATTTATTGGTGTTATACGATATGGTACAGTATCGCACTGAAACAATGATAGGGACGAAATGAACAGTACACAGTAAAGTATTAGCGCTGTTGAACAGTCGTATTACCGCTTCTCTGCCATTGAACAGTTGTCATGGCTGAGTGGCTGACCATGCTTTTCCTTGAGTGCTTGCGATAGCTATCCAATTGAGTAACTTCGTGAACTGTCGAATTGCGAAACTGCAGGAGCTGTCGGGTTGAGTGACGGCTCGAGCTTTTTGGATTTGGTAATGACTCCCCCGAGATGAGTAATTCCAGCTCCTTATATAGTGGAAGTAGTTCAACATCCCAGACACATTGGTTTAACTATCAGACTAACGATTCTTTACAATATTTCAATATTTATGTGTAAGCTTGATTAACAGATTACAAAAAATTTACAACAAAGGGCTTTGTGTGCAACATTTAAGCATTGAAATTAAGATTGGTTGAAAACTTGGCGGAATTGGATTTGGGTAAATGATTCATCACTTTCGGCATTAAAAATTGATTTTGCGTAACAAATCATTTATCTGAGAAAAAAATAAAAATTAAAATTAAAACAACTCACTGAACTTTTTTGGCTCCGCCGACTGCTCCTGTTTTACAGTTTTTTTCTTGTAAATGACAAAATTATACCACTGATAGGATAGGGCAAATAAGATCAACGATATCGAACCCATCAAATGAAAAAGGATGATGCATTTATACCTTAAGATTTCTCACTGAATAGTGGTCGACGGATATGTTAAATGGCAGAAAAGGTACTGAAGTGAATATTAATAAATAAATTATGCTACTTATGTGGCATGAAGTCAAGAGAGGGCAGCTTTTTTCCTTCACCGTTACAGAGTGGTTTTATGAAGGTATTCAATGGTCTCTGTTATACAGTACATTCATCACCCGCAGTTGGTGACGAGTATTATGTCGCAGCCATTTTACTACTCGATTTTGATGATAGCACAAACCTTCTGACAGGTCGTGCAGTGTACCATTCTACAAAGGGAAATTTGGAACATTTGAGAGAAGATTTGGCTACAAACTTTGAAGAGATCAGGTATGTGATGGAAATTGAATTTCATTTTTTTTATACCATTCATTTATTTTATTTAGATTCAGACACCAGGAAATCCGTTTTAGACACTCCATCGTACTATATTTCTATGCTGCATGTAGTTGTGCAGTCGCATGCAACGTGGGAACGTGGGAACATTCCGAAAGCTATTTAATTATGAAAATCAAGTCATTAGTTATTTTCAGACATCTTTATCCACTTGATCCAGCTGATCAAGCTACGTCGCAATGTTGGTCATGTACGAAATTCATGGAAGGTGTATCAGAAGCAATTTTCAAGTGGCAACGATGCCTTTCCCATTTCGATTACTACATGATTATGCGAGTTTGTTATTACTTGTCATTTAAAAATCTCAAACAGAACTATTAGAGCTGTCAATAGCAGGAGAGCTTGTATTTTTTTGAATATGATGGAGAGATGATGGGAATTCGAGAATAATGCAAATTTCAGATGTGCTCTCCTCATTTGATCGAACTTTAAAGCAGTATTATTAGATTTTTCGTCACATGTCATTTGTTAGTTAAAGAAATATGAGTGGAATTTGCAGGAATATCGAATTGGTGAACACAATTTTCCCTTTGAGGAAGGTTTCTTTGATGAAATGGATTGCATAACTGAAGATAATTTACATGAACTATATAGGGCTGCTGCGCTTCGATATCCCAAATTTCTCAATTTATTGATAAATGAAAATTGTACGTTTGTAAATCAGTTTGCTACAGTCCGTGATTCAGATGTTCGGTCAATCATGATTAGATCAGAAAGATATGTTCAGGTGATAAATTAGTAGCTATGAATGACGGTACGAATGATTTGAGTAGTTTAAATCTTAAGCAGTTTTAATGACTTACAAATAGAACATATTAATCAATGCCGTTTAATCAACCATATTTATTGTTTTCAACAAAAAAGGAAAATCGTTCCAAAGTTTTAAGATAAACGGAAAAATTATTTATCTTATAACTCTGATCCAGTTGAATATTATATGAAATGCCTTGTTGAAGATTTGTTGAGTGTAAGTGGAATACAACAACCCGAGGAAGTACCACAATATGATTTCAAATTCGTATTACCACCATCCGATGGAAGATGGCCATTTCTAGAAATTCATGATTGATAATGCATGATACTTTTTTTGAACGTTTGGACCAATAATTTTTCGAGCCTAAAAATCTTTCCTTACTATTTTCATATTATAGGGATATTTCATGTCCAGTTCAAGTGGCAAATTATTTCAATTCTTCATTTTTATATCATAAATAAAATTGAGTCTGAGTTTCATCACTAATGCATTTTTGAAAATTTTATATATTTTAGAAGTGCTTATTTTATAGAAATTTTGGCTTGCATAAGATGGACGGAAAAAATGCCGTGGAAATTTGTAAAACTAATTAACATAGCGGGAATAATTTTGATGTTAATTCTATAATTATTATAAATCATAATGAGGAGAAAAGCAAGTGATAACAAAACAGTGACTTGATAATTCAAAATACAACGTCTTTGTAAATTAATTAGATAATCAAAATGAATTTAATACATATAAAATCACAAACATTAGACACCAGTGTAAGTTATCGTCAGGTGCATTGAATTACTTTCAAGATAGCTTTTTATAAACTATTTCTTTTGTTTCTACTTACTTCCGATCGAATATTTTTTGAAAATAATCATGGTTGCAATTGAATCAGCAAAGGAAATTATTGAAGAAAATTATATTATATAATTATATACATTATATATAAATTATATAAGAAAATTATATTTTTGAAGAAAAAAAAATTGTTGAAGTACAAAGCTTTAATCTTTCTATTTAACTGCCCAAAAACTTCTGTTAATTAACGCTGTCTATATTCCTTCATCCTTATCAATCTGATCACTTCCTGATAATTTGGTCATACTCTTTTGATGGTTCCAGAAGTAGCAAAATAATAGCAATTTTGGCACTATTTATTCATATTTCTTCATGATATGGATATGTTCTAAAGTACAAAATATTCCAATATCAAACATATGGTGTAGATAAGTTAAGGAGTTTAGTCTAGGTAAGTTAGAGATAGCTTACTTAGTCGTAAAGATTGCTCAGAAAATTCTTGCAATGGCGATCAAATTACTTGCTCACACAGTAAAGTTAAACTGTCTTGGCGCAAGTTGCGTGATCTCTTACTTTTTCTCATGTCGTAGAAAGTCGTTCGATAATCAAAGTGAATTATCTGGTGAATACTTTGGTTTAGCTGTGTGTGGTTTAGCTGTGGTTTAGCTGTGGTTGCTATATTTCTAAAATTTTAATGAATAAATTGTAAAAAAACTAAAATCAGTCATGAATTTCAGTTGATACAGGGAAAATAAGATAGAAAGTGAGCATATGATGATTGTTGTTAATAATTCAATAAATACTGAACAATAGAACATTTGATATGTGACAGGCTAAATGTTACTTATGAAATAGAGATTCTAATATTAGAACCCATCACTTGCCTTCTTCTTCTACGAAGAATATTTGTTAAAATACTAGAAAGCGCTATTGGATCACTTTAGCATGGCAATGAAGAAGAGGGCAGTCTCATTTCTCGAGATCAGATTCTCATGGAGCGTCAAAGGAGCAGGGAACAACGAAAACATTTTTGTTTCCGTAGGTTACAAACTATAATTAATGTCACCAAGAAGCAAGTCATTTGCATTGCATTTATTTCGGAGAATAATTTTTGAAAAAAGAATGAATGTGTTAAAATATTATTTATATATTATTTAGAATAAATGTGTAGAAATTCAAATGAACTTAAACTTTGTTGAATGAATAAAATATAATAGCATTAGGATGTGTAGCTTTTTTGTGTGTAGCTTTTTCTGTGTCTCGTGTCACCTGAATCTGGCAGGTTATTCAAGTAAGGTTAAATGTACTGGGATGGCGGTATTCATGCTGGATGCGATTACTCATCTCCTCCCTTATTCCTGGAAAAAATTTAACATTGTCAAGATTTACGTTTAAAATCTTAGTTGATTAGCTGATTGGTTCCATTTTCTTACTGTTTTACGTAAATTAAAACAATTTGGGAGAATTTCGCAGTTTGGAAAGGCAAAAATCTTCGAGAATTCGAGAGCTGAAGTGGGACAATCGATGATAAAAAAAAAGCATAACATAATGTACATAGAGAAGTTGATGGTAACGATTTTTCGAGAATTACATCGGTGTTTTGATATTTCAGAAATGCAATCAAATTGTTATAAGAATTCCATTTCGGTTGGCTTTTTCAACAATTTCCTGAAAACTGTGGTACTTGAGCTTTGTGTGGTTTGTGGATAATGATGACCTATTTGGTTCGGAATAGCCTTATATGACTGAAAAGCTGTGTGATAATGTCCATGAACCAGGTCAGTTTACAGTAAAAATCGTTTGTTTCAATTCCAACTAAAGTCAACATTTCCAACATATAAAAGAGTTGAGTCCCTTATGGTCTCCAGAATATATTCAGCAATAACCTGATTCCATTTTCAATTTCCCAACATTTTTAGAATATTATTTATGCCAATGTATTCTTTTTTAGAACAACTGAAGTGAGAAAATTGGGAAAAGTACTTATATATTTACGGTTGATACGGTCTCTTCACTTCATGATCTCATTTCGATCGACCTGATTCTCACGTCAGCATTTTTCACATTGCTCAGAGATTGTCAGAAGGCTACGGTTCATTAGAAGTGGACAGAATCAGAAATAAATTGTGCTTCTGAAGAATTGTGTATTGACCAATCATTTCGTTCATATTTGGAACATATTATCAAGTTCTTTTCAGGAATACATCATTTCCATGTGACAAGTTTTTGAAGTTTTGACAAAAGAAAGATTGATGATAAGGAGAAGAACATCGATTTTCTTCTTTCCATACTTCTAATTCAGTGACTATTTTTCTTTTTTTTTCTAAATGTCACGATGCTATTCAGCGAAAATCGTAGATTACGGGGGGGCTCACGAGAAAATTTTCGATGAGTGTTGACCCCCTGTCAGGCACGTTTTTATTAAGAACCACTGGCATATCTTTGGTAGACTATTGATCAAAATATTTGGTCAGCTGGTCAGCATATCCGGAAATGATCTATTTCAGAATTGTTAAGATGCCTCAAGTGCAATACAATGCTTATATTCTGAACTAAAACTGTAAAAGTGAGTTATCCACTACCAACATCTAATGCGTCTGAGATTAAGTCCCGAAGAGTCGTGCAATAATTCGTTATTCGCCATTTGTAGTTTCAAAATGCCTCCTCTTAGCAGTATGCATTGTAATATTTCATCAATGAATTGTTTTCTCTTAACCAAAAAAAGTCAGATTTATAACTGAAATAAGGAGAGAAATTTTGGATGCAAACTGTTCCCTCCGAATGTTGCAGTGGAGGACATTTGTAAAACAGAACGAAGCCACAGATTTAAAAGAACAATCATGGATAGAGAAGCGGCAATGATTAGTGGATTGGTACTGAGATAATGACCACCACTTAATGATGCAAATATTCGCGGTGTTCCTAACACTTTCTGATGACCTGAATAGAAATTCCGTAATGCTTCTGAACAGTCTTCTCCCTGAAATATAAAGGATGAGTGAGCATTTGGTATACTTACACTCATGTCTTAATGATATCAAAAAGTGATTGCATTTTAGATGCAGCTCTTCGGATTCATCCATTATAGCATATTTATTTTGGGAAAAAATCAACAAATATCCACCTGACAGCAGCAATCACCGTTTCCACTGCATACAACAGCGCCTCCAACAAACAGATCCATACCACGACATGCATTACGAACATCTTCCGTACAAGTCATTTCCACACCTTCCTCATCAACCAGCGAGACACATGCGGTACAGTCGGTGCGTCTGTATAGCTGCTCGAATGTCGGATAGGATGATCTGTTCAAACCTTTAGAACGACTATTTCCTATCCATTGTTGGCGATACACATCACAAATTACACCTGGGATCAAAGATTTCATCTACATTTGGAAAAGAAATTGTACATTTTGTCTTGATAGATGCTCCAGTTACGGATTTTCCGAATCCAGGAAAATCCTTTCAGTACCTTTTTTAAGCTGAAGAATGCCTCGAAAGAAGTGATCACGCAGTTCATGATAGCAGTTGGTAGAAGCGCAGCAGCAAAGGTTATGACCACAATAGGTTGGACTTCTACTGCACATCACTCCTAAATAAATTTCCAATGCAGTGAATAAAGAGAATCTATTTGCTACGAGCATAAAAAACCCTTAGCTTTAGCTTCAAGCTTTCGATGTAAGTCGCAATATAAAGTATTGAGGAACTACTCCATTCTCATCATATATTGAGGAACTGCTCTATTCCAATGATGAGAAGGTAAAAAGTCTTGATGATAAAAAAAAAGAGAAACCGAAAAATTCGTAAAGAGTTTTACTCTCCGGCAATCCACTACGACGACATCCGCTTATGAATATGTTGAAATGAATAATTCCAAAACAGAAGGAACAGTTAGTTGCCTGCGAATTCGTATATTTATATAGCAGCACTGAGAATGTCTACTTTAAAAGAAATCTAAACAGAGGAAGTTTAAGAGAATTTTCGTTTTCAATGAAATATTACATTGACATGGTAAAGGAGATGTTTCCTTAAACGTTTGATTTTCGCAATATTTTAGAAGTAGAATCTGCACTTTTTTCTATTGAAAAGGATGAATCTTTAATCTAATTCCCTGACTTTAATCAATTAATTGATAAATTTAATAAATCAAAAAAGATCCTTCCTTATGATACACTATATGAATATCTACGGACCAAAACGACGCTTTTTGGGATTATGCTTGCTCCGGAATACAGAATTAAGTTCAGATCCTGTGTGTACACATGACAAATATAGCATAGCATCGCATTCCTACCGACACTTATTAAAATGACGCAACAGAGCAACAGCCGCATTTAGGCAATTAAATACCAACAATAACTCGCAATTTGTATTAACATTCACTTTGAAGCAATGAAGCTACTAGCGACGTTTTATTTTGGATAGTTTTTTTTGGATTACTCGAAATGGGTATTTCAATGATGGCGCCATCTTCTGAAGTAACGCGATATCGCCCCAGAATGTTAAGCTCAGATACTTCAGTTCCAGATACTGTGCTTGGATGAGCATTTGTCACAGAAGTAGCAGTCTCTCTTGTATGTACAGATCTGAACATGTAACTATCTTCTCCACACATCAGCTTTCACCGATATTTTAAAGACAACATGGAATAAGTGATAATGCATAAGGCGGCGACAGAGCTAAAAACAGATGCACAAAAGCTTTGCCGGAGAAAATGTTACTTTGATCGTCTATAACACCACACTAATTATTTTATTAGGAATCGATTAGACAGAAAGTTGATTTTATATACAGGAAACAAAACAGAGTCAATTCATGCAGAGAGCTGTACACGAATCACATCTTTATTACAATTTATGTACCAGGAAATGTAAAATATATGGATTGGGGAAAGAAAACCATTCTTTGTAATTAAACAATATTCGCCTTCAATAGTTCCAAAGGAACAGAGACAGCACAGTTAAGAAGTAAAAAAATCTTCCGTTAATGGATAAAGAATTTACAAACAGATAAAAAAATCGCTCTTCGTCGATTAATATTCGCTTACAAAGACCAGATCATTTCGAATGCTTTTGTTATGCCAACATCATAAGAATTGAAGTGCAGTAAACCAGCAAGGAGACAAATACTAAGTATATAGGAAACTGGTCCCTGAACAATTTTTGCAGCAGTTGGCCCAAGCACAAATGGACGACCATAATCCTAAATGCATAGCTTTATAACAATAAACATCAATGCACGATTCCGGATAATTTCCAGTCAGTATATGAAATAATATAAGCAGCATATATTTTGCTGCATTCTACTAGAAGAATACTAGCTACCCATTTTCAAAAGCTCTTTTAATAAAACAGTTTCTCGTCATTACACCATTTATACCCTACCAGCTCACTGCATACTATGTACATAACACGCTAATATGTTTCCGTCCTGCTTGCTCAAACCACTTGACTTGACGACACCTTCATGGCAATCGTTCGGCTCTATACATAATTGAAAGTTCGGAAAAATATCAGTACTAGCTAAAGAAATCAAACTTGAAAGTGACTTGTAAGCTAGACCATAAGACCTACACTCAGTATACCATGAAGACCCCAGTGGACATGCAACGTGATTGCACACGCCAAAGCGGTATCCATAGCAGGTCCATGGATAAAATAAGCAGCTGGAAGAAGTGGTAGTGTAGCAACTGAAAGGTATCTCTCGATCTTGAACATCGTCGAATGGTTATGCGTTTCTTTGAATGTTTTTCGAGCGCTGCAACCAAGATTTAATTTACTTCAATATTTCAGATGGAATATTCCGTTACAAAGCAGATAAATTAAAACAGCTGGGATCAATGTCGCAGGAGGACAGTCAGTTGCTAATTAATTAAAAAACCAAACTCATATATTAAGCGTCGGTAAAAACCAAGATTCGGCAACATTTTTACAACTTCATAAACCTAAAATGTCCATGACTACGACAGAATTTTAATAAAAAAGTTTTAATCTTTTAGATGGAAAAAATCTAACTTAACAAAAAATTTGTTGTTTCAATTTTGATTCCTTTCAGATAAAAATAAGTTATGAAGGCTTAACTGATTGTTTAGCAAGACTTAGACTTAGGAAATACCTACACAATGGGGTCAAACTGTGGACGATCCGAGACCCCTTGAGCCACGGATCGTTGCACTAAGCGAGGACAAACAAATCGAGTGCTTGCGAATACGATACGACTATTAACCAATAGCATCTGAAACAGACTGCATGAAATATCGATTTCATTCATTGATTCAAATTTCCCATTGTACTTTGAAGTGTCAACAGTTAACTAATCCTGAGGATAAGTTAACACTCAGTTTAGTAATTATTTGCCCCTCCTTGACTGTCATCTATAATTCCTCCTCATTAGATACAGCTCCTCAACAACGCCCACCCCACTCCCTTCCCATCCTGCGCATACCAGTCTATACGGATACACTCATCAACCAAATAAGTGCTCAATGATAGAAAGAAAATCGCGGCTCATCCTGAAGTCCGAAAGTCGAGCATTTCAAGGTTTGATGCCTATTGCGAAATAAGTTGTGCCATGTGAACATAATGTAATGGATGTGTACCGTATTCGACAGTTGTGTCTCGAGGAGGGAGAGGATTGCAGGGTTAGTTTTTCGAACACCGCTTTTCATAAGAATCTGCTCACAAAGAAGAAAAAGGGTAAACCGGGGTGAATACTTCGTCCACAATACATTTAAAAGTAACAAACGACAGCTTGAAATCTTTAATTCGTTGATTTTGTTCGTATCATAAACAATACCGGGAAAAACTATTCATTAACTAAATCTTCTATGAAAATAGAAAGAATTTAATAGGCAGGTAAGTTTTCCTAATCTTATTTGTCCACTTTTCCCACTTGTTCATGCATATCACAAGAAGCTCTTTCTAGGAAGATTTAAATGGAATTCTGAAATCTCTGGAAGTTCATCCACCGAAATGGCCCGAAGATGTTGCCTGTCTTGTCAGAGGTAATCCAAAGTAGTTTGCTTGTGTTGTTTCACCAAGTATTCTTTTTTCGTTTTAGTATTTCATTAACAGATGATGAAATAAAGTGCATAATTATACTGCGTTAACTTTATTTTCAGGTACTCAGAAGCTTCAAGATGATTTGCATTTGCGAGTTCCAGTTGCAAAGGATCCGTATTTGAATTGCGAAATTACTTGCGAAGAGTTTGTATGTTTTTTCACGTCCTTTATAATTTGTTATAATTTTTCTGTTTATACTTTCAGGTGGACTAAAAAACTAATTCTCCCTTATTTCAATTTTCAGAATACTGACGATTTACCTTGGCAGAATGGATGTAGCATTCCGGGAGCCTTTAATCAAAGGTATCAAGGCCGTGTAGTCAGTGTTTCTAGTCTTACAAGTTTAGCAATTCAAAAACCAAAGAAGGAAATAGTGGTGGATTTGGAACATAATGCCGAAATATTTTACGAACCAGGCGATGCCTTTTATTTCATCGTGCCGAATACTCGGGAAGAAGTGGATTTCATTTTAGAAAGGTAATTCTGTTTGCTTCTTTAGAGAGACATAGTTTCAGGTGAACTGAAAAATGATAGTGGCAAAGGCGGTACTCGCTATTCAGACAGCTGTTTAAAAGGTGAAAACTTTTGGTATGACCGTAGATTGCTTATGGTCGGTTGTTCGTTTTGCTTTAAAAAGACTTTTACAGTCTTTTAATCACGAAAGCATTCAATTGTTTTTGTACTTATTTTGCTGTTATCTAAATCTTTTGAAATTTGTAAAAGGGTTGACATTTCCTGAAACACAGACAGCATTCCATAACAGTGGTTGGATTAAAATCTTCACGTATTTGCTTTTGTTTGTATGAAGCATACTACCAACAGCAGACACAGTGTATTAAGTGTATTCAGTAAGTGTAAGCAAAGAATAGCAGTATGACCTTTAGTCTAACATAGAGCAAGAACAGCTTGGCTGTTTCGGAGATGATTTTGGACCGTTGCTTTATACATTTCATATTTTCTTCCGAACTTAATATTTTGCTTATTTTTTTAGGATGGGGTTTCTGGAGGCAGCGAATCGGAAATTAGTTGTAACTGTGAAATCTCAAACTACAGTGAAAAATGCAGCTCTACCACCGTATATACCAGAAATTTCTACATTAAGATACATTTTCACATGGTGTCTTGACATCAGGCGATCGCCAGGCCGAGTAAATTATTTTTTTGGAACATAATATTACTTTTTCTTAAAGGATTACTTTTTTTTCTTCTTTCTTTTTTTCTATTACTTTTTCTTTTTCTTCTGCGTATTTTTAAGAAAATAAATCGTGCCATAGTTTACTTCCGTTTCCAGCCTCTTCTTCGTGTACTTGCGGAACGTACGGAAAGCGAGTGTCAAAAAAGACGTATTTTGGAACTGTGTAGTGCTCAAGGAGTTGAAGAATTCACAAAATTTGTTCGTCAGGTAAATTTTAAAATATTTACAAATTCATCTGCAACCGTATGTGATAGCCATTGAATTAATAGTTATCTTACTAATCATAATATGTTCGTTAATTCTTCCATCTTCCCACGGCGTCTTTCTTCACAGCAAACGTACGTCACAGATATCATTTAAAAATAAGTTGATTTTCAACTAGTCAAGCACAGTAATATGGTTGAGTAGATCTTACGTGTCACTGTCAACTAATTGTATCGTTCTTAGTAACGTTGATTACCTTGAAAGCAGTGGAATGGACAGAAATAATTTCAGGCTGGTCTTTCCTTGGTTGATTTTCTGCTAAACTTTCCTTCATGTAAACCTACAGTTGAACGTTTGATTGGTTAGTCAAATACTTTTCGACTTTATTTTTGCATGCTTACTGAATGTTCTACTAACCTACGTCCTTCAGAACTACTACCTCGTTTGCTTCCTCGACCATACAGTGTCAGCTGTATCAGAGAATTCTGGGGAAAACGTATACGTTTCATTTTTTCACTGTTACACTTTAATGCCACTGGTGGCCGCCGTTTCCATCGTTTTGGTTTATCATCAGGGTGGCTTGCAACGCTGAAAGAAGGGCAACAAATTCTGGTTAGTTGTAACACTGTTTTAGATTTCAGATCGCTGTCTAGAACAGTGCAAAATTGTTGCTTCTTTAATTTTAGATGAACTAAAACAGTTGACGGAGTTTTTTTTAGATGTTTCTGAAAGAATCATCTCGTTTCCGTTTACCACCACTGGTGCATTCTACTTTTGACCTTGTACGTATGCCCCTTATCATGGTTTGCACAGGAACTGCATTGGCACCGTTTCTATCTTTCCTACAGAAGTTGTAAGTTCTTCCACTCTTTCAACACAACTTTTTCTTCATTTGAAATTATTGTTCAGCTTTGCAGTATGTAATTCCAGAGAATTCGTGGGAGCCGAGAGATATAAAGTACGCCGAGAACTTTATTTTGGATTTCGAAATATTAAGGATGATTGCATTCATTAGTAAGTTATAAGCAAAGCAACAATCATATAACATCTGTTTGTCACTTTGCTAATGATTTTGACTAGTGTTTGGAGAAGAAAAGCCTTGGTATGGGGTGATCTCATTTCACATTTCACTACACTTTGATGTATGTTTTGACGAGCACCATTGAGAGAACTGTCATAAAAGTGAAGACCATGTAATTTATGGCTGTATTGTAAAATCTCGTTGTTATGCATACTTCGTTTCTTTTTATTAAAATTCAGTTAAACTCGCAGCAAAATCTTGTTGGTTAGTAAGCTTCGGGACACAATACTTCTCCAAGAGGTTTTAACAAAAATTTGGAACTAAGATCTCCGGATCAAGCCTGTGTCGGAAAACCAGAGCCAAGTTATTCGTAGCATATTACTTTTTTTTGATGGCAGTAGAATCAAGCAGTTAAATTGTTTTACAGTAAGGATATTCTGCGATGTGTAGATGAAAATATTCTTTCGCACGTATCTCTGTGTGAATCGCAGGCATACAATGGTATTTTTAGTAAAAAGTACGTACAAGATGCTCTGCAGGAACGTGGTCGGGAAGTTCCGTTTTTTTTTTGCTTATTCATAGATTTTTGTCTGTTGAACCACATTCTTCCAAATATTCTTTATATATTTTTGCAGGTATCTTATCAGGTGCAGGTGTCTTCTGCAGTCTTTAGGCCTCTTCAATTATTTACAACTCTTTCTGAAACACTAATTTATTTTACCTTGATTTTTAGATTTCGGATATATTATCTCGAAAGAATGAAGACGAAAGTCACCCTGCAGTCGTTTTTGTGTGCGGTTCTTCGAAACAGATGTTAAAAGATGTGGCAGATGTTTTTTTACACATTTTCAACAAATACCTAAGTAAATTGTTTTTCTCATTGTTTTATAAACGGTAGTTCAGGAAAGACATGGAACAGGCAACATACGCAACTTGTTAATCTATTAAAGGAGAGGTGGAATGTTAATTATTCCAACTCTCACTCACTTTGCACTAATTTGTGCTTGTGTCGTTTTTTTTTTCTGTTTTAGCGTGTTTTTTCATATTAGTGTCTTAACATTAACGAAATTAAAAACATTATTATAGGTAAGAGTAAAGAAGAGGCAGAATCATTCCTCAAAGAGCTGCGGAAAAATGACCAATATGTTGAAGATATTTGGTGACATTACTGTACGACTTTAATTTCACAGTAGATAAAGTCTAGCAAATATCTGCTGAAATTGGATATTACTATGCAGAAAAGTTAGTATGATTCATTAAATCTTGCATATCACGATAGGATGTCGTGTCGCTGTTTGCTAACTTTTGATAAGATTGAATTTCTTTGGAATCTTATACATACAGAGAAGAATGGATATTTACGATGCCGTATTTAAATACACAAATCTCAATATTCTAAATTTTTGTTTTCTATTTTCTCGTTTGAATCATAATGTTTGCATATTATTCACTCACTCAATGAACTGTCTTTTTGGAGGCACTTTTGTTTTATATTTCAAAATTCGTGTCACAGAACCACGTTTTCGATAACTTGTTAGCATTACGTTTGTCGGAGCCAGGAAATCGGCAATCTCCGAGTGGTTCAACCGTCGAAATAGCTCTCCGTTCTCACCTTCCGAATGTTCATTGTATCTCAGTCTTAAAAAATTTAAGGATTTTGCTCCAAAACTATGTAGATTTCCGTTTCTGCCAAGTTGAGGTTGAGGGGATACAGTTTACCGCCTGGTTGCTAATTCCTGAGGCAAACAGAAAGGAAGGATTCAAAATTCCTATGTTTCGATCTGGCGCTTGTAAGTTATACAGGATGGTAATTTAAATGCTAAAATGTGACTAGAGTTGTATAATTTATTGACGGTATCCTTACCGAAAGTCAATGAAGTATTGATCAACGATAAGGTTCATTGCCGAATCGAGAAGACTGGCAAATTGCTGCTCATAAGCGATATCCAATATTTTGACGGCGTCATCCAAAGTGACACTTTTCCAATTCTGTCGGACCGTTATGTTCATTTTTTTTTGATTTTTGAGATAGCTGATGGAGGCATGAATGTCAAGTGCCCTCCCCACCTCAAAATCATTCTACCATTTTTAAATTTAAAATTAAAAAATGACTTTTAGGAGAATTTCATTGAGTTTGACGGATATGTGGTTGATAATTTCAGTCTGTTTCAGAGGTTTTATCCTACGTACACATTGCAGGAACCTTCGAACTTTGTCAATTAGCTGTACTTCCATATCGTAGGTGCCTTTGAATGCAAAGTCGAGAACCTAGAGAACTGTTACATGTTAGAGTAGGTATGTATTTTGTCTTAATCTCATATATATTATTACTTGAAATTTTTCTATTCTGCAAAATTTGTTGAATTACAGTAACTATTCAAACATCCTAGCTGTTAGCGGAATACTGGAGTCATTCAACACTAATAGTCGTTCGAGCAGATAATATACTGCGTTTTGAAATCTATCATTCATCTCAATCTTCGACTCATCATACATTTGAAGGATCTGACAAGAGAGGCCGGTTAACCTTTTCAATAATTTCTCGATTAAAATCAAGGACAGCAGAGGATGTAAACGGGTTTGCTGTGATCAGCTCATGAAAGTAATTTGTTGATAAATAAAGCAGATATTTTGATGTCTTGATCTCGCCATCATTGGCTATAATTTTGAAATCCCTAAAAAGCCATGCATTTGCTTTCTTTCCAATCATGAAATATACACTAGTAGAAACTGCAGAAATTTGAAAAAGTTGATAAGACGACGTAAGGAACATAGGTGTGGAGTTGGAGCAACCCAACTATTTGAGTTTGGACTTCAGAAAGTCCTAAGGTCCATCCACAACCTTTAAATCCAAGAAAAAAAAATAAGCAAACAGAAGAAGTCGGAAATAATGGTGAGACGGAATAAAACGAAAAGTAAATACTAAAATACTATAATCAAACAATGTCTTTTTCTTCCATTAAAAACACACGTGAAATTCTATAAAAATCTTGAATTTCGAGTAAGATGCGTCCATGAAATTAGATATTCTGAGATCTGAGGTCGATAATCCTTGAAGTCAAGCAAAAACCTTTGAGCACTCAAAATTTGTTCCAGTGCCACTGATCGAAAGTCGTTCTCGAGGATGTGGATCAGTGGAGCCCTCTCGTGGCGTCGTAGCGTTCCGAAAAAGTCTTTAACTTTGAAAATAATTCTCACAGTAAGAACTACTTCACCGCCATCAAACGTCTGCGAATGGAGGGTACTGAAAATCGTCCGAAAGAATTCACTATCTTCTGGAACAACAAATAAACCACTGAACGGTCTTTCTTGCATTTCCAGTTCATTGACTGAAAAAAAAAAGGATTTCGGGGTCCAATTGGCTAAATCTTCCAGATCCTATTAAGCTTTTAACAATGAACTCTAGAAATATCTACTGCAACATAAAGTTATACTGAAATTGTAGTCGTCGAGCCTTTTATAGTTTCTCTGTACAAATTCTTTAGTTAATAGAATATGACGTCACGGGAGTGACTTACTTTGATCATACTTCCTAGAAACAGCATAGTATTTAAGAAGGATAAGGCCCGGAGGGTAAGTTTCGTCGATTCGCATACGTCGCTGAGCAAGTCGAATTTGTGGTGCCCGGCGATCGCATGATATATCAAAAAACCTGATGATGTGAAAACAACTGAAGAGAGAGGACATCCCCTGTCATCCACTGCTCCTTGTTATAGTTTACTATGTTCAGTTGCAGCTGTTGAAAAATTCTGGACGAAAAAACTTTCAGTTCGACTTCATTTATGGAGACGAGGAAAAAAAGCATGCTTGCACATGTGTGAGGATTCAGGAACTCCTGTAGCAATGCAGGGGGTCTAAGTACTGATTGCTTATTGATATATGAGGATATTTCTGCGAATTGTCTAAAGCTGACCAGTCAATGGAACGGCTGCCGTACGTGGAGGAAAATGTAGCCGAGTGAATGCGATTGTCCACATAAGCGATAGTAAATGCAAAACGATGAATAAAAATAAGCTTATCAAGTTTGCCTTCATCATTCTTTGAGAAACACTCCATTACCACCACTCTACTGAAAGCACTGACTCAACAATGATATTCATACAAAAAGATTCGATTTATTTATTATTAATTGAGGGATCCCAACTTGTTTATTTTGGAAACCTAAATAGATGCTGCAACGCTGCTCTTGCATAAAACTTCTGTGTTTGAGTTATTTTAACATCGACCTTATCTTTTGAGGGAATTTTACAATTCAAGTTTATCAAAAAGACTATCTCAAAGAAGCCAAAATATTTATAGCGCAATAATATACAGCTACAATAGTAATTTTATTTTCAATTATTATCAGAACCCATGAAGTCGAGATTTTGCAGGAAAACACACAGGAAAGGAAAACAATCCATTTGTTAGTATACCACTTGTTCTCCGACCGTAACGAATTATGTGCAGAGATGCACAGATGACCGATATCACATTATTCTTCATCACATGTTGACTCCAATAAAACGCATAAATTCAATATCATTTTATTATTTTCACTGTGCAATAACCACGTTTGCAATCCTCAAGATAAAGAATACATAATGGAAATTGTGCCACTCTTGTATCCACTACCGAAATGATTCCTAAATACTTGAAAATGTCTAAATATAACGAGACGGCTGGCTACAATAGAAAAGATAAATCTTTGTGTAATTTATAAAGTCTACAAAGATACTATTGTATATGCTTAAACTTCGTTATTTGATAGTTTTATTATTAAAAGAGTCCTGAATTTTCGTAGTAGATAGTGAAATCCTGGGAGTGAATCTTAAATCCAAATTCTTGGTGTCTTGGAATTTTATTCAAACTACTTAACATAAATGAAAGTACTGATGGGTAGCAAAAAGAACTCAATAAAATCTCAATAAAATGACAATTATGATATATTAACCGAATCTTGACTAACGAAAACTTAAAGTGGTGGTAAGTAAAAAGGGAATAAAAACAAAGTGGCAAATAAAAAGGGAATAAGAGCCGTGAAAAACATGAAAATGCATGAAACTGACCAATGATTTAGATGGTGGAACAGTTCGTACAACTGAACACGTTTCTGAATGTTTTTCGCTTTAGGAATGATTTCGTGATAAGCAGAATAAACCACGCTACCGAAGCCTCCGAACATTTTCATTATACCAAGTTCATATTCACTGTGTGCATAAAATGAAGCAGGGTCAAAAACTACTGAAAATATCAACAGCAATTTACGTTGCATTCATGGTATTCTTATGCTGATCAAATATGCAGTTGCGATCTTTCATTGGTTTTTTGGTTATCCGAAGTACCGAAAATTTTATTAGAGCTATACCATAAATACAATGTAGATTGCTAGGTAAATCGGTAAACGGTTCAGGTAAAAGGGTAAATGGTTTAAATAAATCGAATGCTAAGCGGTATTATTAAAGATTATGGGAATATCTGTTTTAATGCTTTTTTTTGACAAGGACAACGAAATTGTTACTGTTCTTAGCGTGAGCAAAATCAAATTAATATATTGATATACCGTCCTCAGTAATCAGTAAAAGGTGAAATATTAAGGAAAACATTGCCATTGCTCACCTGGGCCATCCGCACAATACGAATAGTTTCCAGACCACAAATCTCCGTGGACGAGAGCTGGAACAATGTTCCCAGTATCCTTGAAGAATGTCGGGATTTTTCGTTCCAACTGAGGCCATAATGAAAGCATATCTCTGTCACCATGTTTCTATAACGAGGAAAGTTATAGTGATAATCACATGAAATGGTGCAAGAACTTACACTTTCAAATAATTTCCAAAAATTGAGTGCTTTCTTTTGCTACAACATATGTCCGAACCATGAAAATAGCGAGAAATTTTTCAGATTAATTCTTTATAAACCTACTTCCAACAGCATGTCGATTTGATATTTCAATCGATTCTGCACGAAGAAATTCTGAAATAATTTATGGCTTACAGCATTTTGTATGTCCAAATTTCATAAAGAAATTAAAAAATAAGTCGGAAACTTCATCCAATCGCAGTTAAGTCAATTCCATTGCAATTATATTGTCTGTCCTTATGAGTATCAAAACGTGATAAGAAACATGATAGGTAAGATTAAGCACCCTAAACTAATTATATTATCAAATAATGACTGATAGTCACCAATAGTGTATAGAAGTATAGAGATTGCAAACAACATTTTACCATCCAATCATCGCACCATTCGTTCATTTGGGGCAAATAACCACAACAAGTGGGTACATGAAATCCGAACTGTGTAATTGGTTCAGCGGCTTTTTCCTGACCGCCAACAAAACTACTTGCACGCTCTTTTTCTTTCAACAAAAATGCATTATGCATATGCATCCTGTAAATTATTACACGATTCTGGCAGTTAATTCTATAATAATAAAAGGGAAAATAAGCAGGCATTTACATTTAGTGACTCTAAATTCCGGAAATTTATTTACTTTCGTTGATAAATAACACATGGCAACCGTCGTTATTGTGATTAGTTTCCCGACTAACTTTCAGACTAGCACATCTTTGGAAAAATTACTACTACACCTAACGTACAACTAACACTAATAATTGTGTAACATGAAATAAAAAGATGACCCACCGTGCCAAATCTCGACCAAGCTGTGAGGGTTTTGAAGAACCATGTAAGTCAATGTATTCCGTAACCAAACAATGCCGGTTGCTATCGGATATACTCTCAAAACGGACATGATTTTACTAACTGTAAGCATTCTTGATTTGAAAGCACAATTTAAATGAACATTTTACGAGAGTGCTTATTTAAGATCTAAGGGAATGGCAATTAATTACTTTAAAACTTTTAATTTTAGTTATTTCCAATAATTGCTGAATAGTTCTTAGAGACCTTGATTGGCTTTGGTGCACGTATTGTTTCTGTACGATAAATAGCTTCCAGGCTTGCGAATTCTCCATCGAACATACGCTTAGCCTTTAATAGCATATTACAATGCGATTATCATGGATGCATGAAATATGAAAGTGGGGACGCAATTCACCGATGACCTACGGATCTGTTAGTAATAGTAATGTTAGGAGTTATAAAATATTACTTTTTACAGTCTGCTTTGTACGACGGAAGTAAAGAATAATGGAAGTCAAAAGATCAGAAGCAATAAATAAGCAAAGTAAAGAAAATAAAGCACACTTCGACTTAGTTCGCGGAATTTCTCCAACTCAAGCTATCGCTATCTTCTAAATAAGATAATTCTACAAATCTCAGAACTTTTAAAATCTCCATTTTTTTAAGATCTATACGAATCTGTTAAGAAATGGAAAACAATTCACATTCTCACGTTCATTAAATTTGATAAACAGGTCACCAAGATCAGAATGATAACCACTTCCTTTACTGATACATCCACCAGCTGTACCACCGAATGGTTCGAGCATTTTCAATCCCAACTGTTTTCGTATCACTTCTTCCATTCGATTTTTGCTGCATGAATAACAATTCCGATAAAATTTTCAAAAGCTCAAAGCGTACGTAGAGAGACAAACTTTCGTAAAAGATGACAGATAATTAATTCACTGCAATATTAGCACAGCAAATCACTTACTTATATAAAAATGATAATCGACAATGAATCTGAAAAAAACTACTCGGAAAACGATGAATGAAGCTATCATGTAAACGAAAATAATGCTAGATCTTCTACTGCATAATTATGCTTTGTAAGAACAAACTAGCAAGATGAAAACAGCTTCCCCTGTTATTATTTCCCCGAACTTCCTCAAAATCCTTAAATGTGGTATTTCGTAACATTCGAATTTAGGAGTTACATACGCATCTTCGGAATAGCGAACTGCACTGTAACGCTTCCTTTAGAAAGAAGAAAAGAATTTTCTCAATTAATGCATATAAATTTCCCATAATCATGATGTGACTTTAAACCGCAAGGATGTAATCAGTAGGTTTAGAGAATATACACTCCAAGCAGTAATTAATAGGATTCATTCTCTCTGACCAAGGAATAATCCAAATATTTCCTGAACTTGAAATCTACGCATCGTGACGTGTTGTCTTTTGAATCCCGCTTAAATTACAAGTTTTTCATAGCCCTACAACAACTAAATGTTGATGCCAACCTCAAATGAGACTGCTTCGCCTTTCCTCTCAGACATCAGAAAATAACTTGAGAAATATCGGAAAATACGAAATTTCTTTCAAAGGAAATCTGCACTCTGAATCACATTTGCACCTCCCAGCTCGGCAGATTTATGCTCAATCTATTAAGTAGGCTGATGATATTGTATTAACATCTGACAAAACATGAAACAGTGAAGTAGTTAACTTAAGTTTATCTGCAATATGTTTGACAGCAACTTTCATACTTTCAGGAGATGTCGCTTATAGATTCAACGTTTCGCCGTAGCGTATCACAGCATGCCAGTATTGGTGTGAGATGGTACGGGTCAAGGGTCAAAAAACATAAGTTGATGTTAATTATCCTAACATTTTATCGTTAAACTGGCTAAAAATCAGCAAAGGAAGAAATCTTATCATCCGTTAGCAGAAGACTCCTTAGTGTTCTTGAATACCAACTATAATTTAACTTTACTAAAGAACGTTTTAGGGGGTTAAAAAGAAATTACAACATTAAGGTAAAGAAATGAATGAGCTATGAGGTGGAATTAAGCCGCCTGTTGGACAATACCAGCTGTGACAATGAGATGTTTCATTAGACCAAAATAAAATTTTGAAATCAAGCGATCTAAGTATATCTTTTAACTTACTTAGTTTCAATGAGGACACGGTTAGGCCCACTCCTCGGACATCTAAAAAAGAATGATCTCTCGTGTCTCTTTCCAACTTCTCTCTTCTCTCTTCCTTCTTCATATCTTGTCAGACAAAGAGATCAGATTACATAAATGAACAGTTAATACTAAAATAAAATCAGAAACCGGATCCTGTTAGACCTACCAAGTATTTCACGGTTCTTGGTGAAGTCCTTTATCCAACTTTTCTTACGTCTTTTCCAGGTAGGCAGTCAGTTTTATTCACGTTTCTGAAGCACCCGCAGTGGGAATTATATCTTTACCATGTGCCTTGCTGGAATTAATTTACCTTTGTCTAGCTTGTGACGTCAAACCGAGCTTGACAAATAGTACACGTGAAAAGTTAAAATATGCGTGAGAGAGACCAATAACATTGGAAAAGACATAGGTTTAAAGTCGAACGTTAATAAATACAAGTAAAGTTTGACATTTACAGCTTGCGAATGTTTCGAAAAGAAGGAAACTTTACTGCGCCTAAATGGGTCACATTCCACTCAGTTCCATTTATAGTTCCATGAAATTTAATGTTTGAATTATAAAAGAACCATTTCAGTTGTTGGACAGGCAGCGTTCGTGCGTGTTGCAAGTGTAATGCGCAAAGGTAGCAAACAGATTGCAATGTCTTCCATGTTCTACTTATTGTTGGGAACGGTACTCTTCCTCACATCGTTCGGCATTTCCGGCTTATGCATATTCTTGTCGCTTTTGCTTGGCCTTATCCTCGGGTACTGAAACTCTTATTTCTTTAGCTCTCTGAAGTGTACAGTTATATGAATGACACCATTCCTATCTTTTTCTTTTCGACTCGTCTATTATATTGTTGAACACAATTAAGCTTAAAATTGATCTCTTCCAGATTGTTTATGGCTACGCTTAAGCGTGGTCTCGAAATATCGGATAAGGATTTATGTGAACTTGATGAGATCACCAAGAAATTCCGTTTCATATCTGGACGCCAAGGATATCTGGAAAATCGCGGACGATTCTCCGAGAACGCTTATGAACAGGAGCAACCCATGACGAATTCAGTCACTATCGATGCTATACTTGAACAGGTAGGAAAGCGGCAAAAATCCCTTTAAGATACACACACGCACCATACACACACACAGACACATACACACACACACACACACTCACACACACACACGCACACACACACGCAACACACACACACACACGCAACACACACACACACACACGCAACACACACGTACACTCAAAGCATACAACTCGTCTTTAACGTGTTTTGCAAGGTGCATGTAATACCCAAAATTTCCTATATATGAAATAATGAATAAATTCAAACAAAATTTGTTGATGAATTGATTTTTGGTTTTTATAAGATGCTATCTTATGTGATACGAGATTTCATTGATTTGTGGTATAGCAGTTTAACACCGGATCATCATTTTAAAGAAAGTTTAAAACGAAGTGCTAGGCGAACTGTCGCTGCTTTTTCTCAGTGGTATGATTTTTTTTCTCTCGTTATTATTCTTATATGCTATAACTGAAGTAAATTGATGTTTCATCGTATTT